AAAGGAGGGTTGTGTTTTTTGTTTTTTTGTTCTGTTTCCATAAATATGTTTTTTTTGTTTAAGAATATATTTAATTACATTATTAGTTTCAGAATACAAAGAAACTTTAAATTTTATAATAGAAGTATTGATGTAGACTCTACATAAAGATAGAAACCGTATGAATAAAATGTAGAGTTTTAATTGAGGGATGAAAAAGGAAGGTTTGAAGTTCACCCACGCGGCAATCGAATCCGCGATCTCCAACATAGAAGACGGTGTCTGTCATGATATGTAACAGTATCTACAGCTGAATACAATCTATTTCGGTATTATTAATGGTCCCTGATTGATATTACGTATATTACGTATTCAGCCATTTTTACGCCCCACTGCTGGGCACGGGCCTCCCTTCAATACGAGGGGGATCAGGCTATAGTCCACCACGCTGGCCAAGTGCGGGTTGGTGGACTGCACATAACTTTAGAAAACTTGCGAAGTTCTCTCAGACATGCAGGTTTCCTCACGCTGTTTTCCTTCACCGTAAAACAAGTGGTAATCATGTTCAATCAGAGGTGCGAGATCCGGGATTTGAACCCGCTTCAGTCGTTTTCCCAAGAAAGTGCGTTACCACTGGGCTACCACTGCCTATTATATTACTTAAGATATATATTCATTAGTATATAACCCAAGGAAATAATACGTTTAAAATAATATTGAGTTTATTATAGATAATTTTTAGTCACAAAATAATTTAGTTACGAAAAAAATATACGTACAGTATGATCCAGATTGAAGCATTGTTTTAATTTTTTCCGCGAGAAAATATGAGATAACACCGCCTGAGGCAACAGACGCCAAAGTAACCAGGACCACTACAGGTAGGTTCGTATCAGATTTTTCAGAACCTCCTACAATAGTACTATTATTGAAAATATCTGTATTGATAAGTGTTATGTTTGTTTGAATTGTTTGTATAGAAATATCGTAATTCTCTTCGTAATATTTTGACACGAATTCATCTAATTCTATTTCAAGTGTTACGGAGCCACATTCATTTGCTAAATCTTTTAGGAGATCGCAACTGCTTTGGTTCCTGAAAAATAATATTTACGTACAATAAATGTTAACTTTTAAATCAAAAAGTAACTCAGTCACAGGTATATTATTAGTTTTTGTCCGCAGCTTTGCTCACATTATGTTCCAATCTCAACCAATATATAAATCAAGTATGTTTTATTATATATGTACATACAGTATGTACATATATAATGAAACCTATAATGTCTTAACTTTAAATGTAATTCGTCTCCACACTGAATTTCAGTCAAACTTTATGCATTAGAAACGTAACAAACAATTACTCGCAAATTTTATAGTAACCATAGTAATATTATAAAAATGAAAAACCTGTTAGTTAAGTTTTCGCACTTAAGTTGCTGCACAGATTTTGATAAAACTTGGCAAGCACATAAATCACATACTGGGGACGGACATAGGCTACCTTTCATTCCCAACCTATTCACCACGTAAGCGAGTCCGCATGCGAAAACTAGTATACGATATTCATGTGATAAATAACCGAATTAATAATTAATAACAGATAAGGAATTATAGAACTTTATAGTTTTTATATCACCATTTTGTAGTGTTTGCAAATTGGAGAAATTCGTATGAAAATGGAGAAAGTTTGGTCTTATCTACTACTACTTTCTGTTGACTCTAGTATAGATAAGGCATGAAATTAAACTATTTATTAATATAGTTTAATATGTTGACAAAAACACAGTTACGACGAGGGCCATTTGCTTTTTTTGATGCAAAGTAACCAAATCTGACTAAATATCTTTCTATATAACGGGCACAGCTACAGGTTCGATTCCCATACTAGATGATTGTAGTTGTTGACCAAAACCAAAAGCACGTCGTTGGGGAGCATCATACACCAAGTTGTGTCTCAAAAATGACGAAACAGTATCTAAAGTAAGAGAAAAAAAACGGCAAATAGACTTACAATGTATCGATGGGTGTTTCATCAATTCCACTTAAGTAGATATTAAAGTTTTTACAACTTCGCAACGCTCCAGTTGTATGAAATAAGAAAGCTATCTGTAACAAATAAACTTTAAATTTTTATAGATGCCTTTGGACCTTACTATAAATACTATAAGTTGCATGTGTGTATGTTTGTTACTCTTTGCCGTTGAAATAGACCATGACCTAACATAGACTACTCCTAGGTTAGTTACCTAGGGACGTACACGAGCGAAGTGATGGTACGCCACTATTTATATATACTGTTTTTTATGTATATAACTTCTTTTTACTATATAAAAATATAAACATATTAATTCTAGAAAGTATCAGTCTTATTCTTCACTTAAGTAATCACAATAGTATTCCAGATAAATAATAATAACCATTTTGTATGCTTAAATTAATTTAAATAATTTATTTGACACTTTTCCCCTGCTCCTACTTACGTGGTAGATAGAGGTTATTTATTACAAAAAAATATCGGTCAAAGTTCACTGATATACAAAAACTCAGGATATAACGATTCCCCCCCAACGTGCGTTCACCTTGTCGTGGTGGGGGGGCTCAGTAGTGCCCGGCAACCCAACCGGGCGCGAAGCCAAGAAACGCACAGGGAGGTGGCCCACTTCGGTGGGCGGTGGAAGGCGGCCCTCTTCGGAGGGCGGTGTATCATGCGGGTTGCTCCTGGTACTTCTCTGATAGCAGAGTGGACCTTGGAGCAACCCCGTGGTTGTTGTGGTCTGCTTCGGCAGACCTGCCATCGGGGCGTCGTAGTTGAATGCGTAAGCGATCCTGCGACGCCCCATTAAGACGGGGGAAGGCTTTGTTGGGTTTTAGTGGGTAGTACTGGCTTTGCCGGTGAGTCCCACACCTTGTGCGTAAATGCATTTCCCAAGGTTAAAAAAAAAAGGATATAACGATTAACGTCCCAAAAGTGTCCTCAAAAAGAAGCGCACAAATCGAAATTCTGAGTTTTTTTTTCAAATCTCTTTTGTTCAATTCTTTTCATACAAAATTAAAATGCACTTTTTTTCGTTCAAAAAAAGTACTTTATGTGGTGTGCGTAAGTTCGGATTTATGTTAAGACAAAACTTTCGATTTTTTAATTTTATTCTTTGGTTTGACCTAACGTCACATATCGACGACACTTTTTGAAGAGATTTTATATATCAATGTTAAAAATAATATAAAAATTACTATTGATAATAGTAACTTACCATAAATAATTGAAAGGAATTTATTAAGCACATTTTTCATCACACAAACAGATGTTTACCGCTGGGAATACGTTACTAAATAGCTTTTAAAGTTTTCCTTATAATAATATTTGGTTAGTTATCCTGTTATGGAGTAATGCTGCGAGTACTAAAATAATATATGATTCAAAATAAGTCCCGGAAAAATAATGTCAATAATTAAATAAATGAATTTAGTTATTTATACATACTTATTTTAACACACAACAACATTTAGTTCCGTGGTGAGCGCGGCCTGTGTTGTAGATGCAGATAGTGGATACACTGGACATATATAACATTAAAGATATACATATTATTATAAATATAAGCACCCACGACTGGAGTACAAACATTAGTCCTTATCACAAAATGAATGCCTCCAACCCTCGAACCCGCGACCACACAGCAAGTAGGGTCACTACAAACTGAGCCAAACGTGTCGTCAACTTTTATTTCTTTTCACTTATTTAAATCGATATTCTAATTATATCGATAATCTAATTATATCGATAATAGAAAACGGCATGTATCTAATGTTTTTTGAAGTTATACTTCTTTTGGCGTGTTAATTGATGAGGACAATTTTTTTACGATGCGACAGAATTAGATTAGCAAGTATTCTCACTTCAACCTGAGCCAAACGTGTCGTCAAATATTAAAATCGAAACAGCCTTCTATAATCTATATACTAGCAACTGCCTCGGTGGTGTAGTGGGTAGCATGTACGGCTGCACACCCGGAGGTCCTGGGTTTGAGTCCCGGGTCGGGCCAAGTTTAGTTGTTGAGTCTTTCTGTATAAGTAAGCCTCAGTAACAGCCCGGTGTTGGGAAGTTGGCGGTGTTTCAACCCCGTACCTCAGACAGCACGTAAAGCCGTCGGTCCTGCGCCTTAACTCTCACCGGTCGTGTCGAGCAGTCGTCCCACCGGAATATGAGAGTGACAGGAATAGAGAGTGCACGTTGTGTCTGTGCGTACACTTGTGCACTATAATATCTCCTGCGCCAGTTGGCTAGTCTCAATGAGATTGGCCGCCGTAGCCGGAATCGGCTAGGAGAACATCATCATACTAGCAACTTACCCTCGTTGCTCTTGTTGCACATACTTACTCCGGTTAAGTATATTAATACTAAAATTTTAATTTTTAAATATTAATGATTGTAAGTTCTACAATTTTATTTAGCACATGTTATGTTTTCCCATTAGTAAAAGTACAACTAGTATTTTTTTTAATTTTATTTGTAAAAAAATTTTTAATGCTTCTCTAGGAAATTCAAATAAATAAATAATTTTCTTGTAAATTAATAATTAACATCAGGTGAAATATTACATACATAGCACATACATACAAATCGTATTAAACATAAAATAAAAAGATTGAGATAGAAGAGATAGAGATAGTAAAAGATCGTAGATTAAAAACAGAATGTAAACCAAAAACTAAAATAAAGCCGCGAAAAAATCTAAACAGATAGTTTTATTTATAATATCAAATATTCGAATAAGTCTTAGAAAATATACAATCATACATACATTGGCTCTATATATTATATTATTGTAGATTTCTAAATAAAAAAAAAATGATAAACTAAAAATAATAAAGATTTATAAAATCTAGTCCGGAACAGCTCTGATTACACAATTTTTTATAGATAGTAATTACTATTATAATACTTGCAAGGGATATTAACTCTTACACACACGTATTAGTGGTTAAAATCTAATAAATATGTAAATACATACAACTTTCTTCGACGGGAAAGTCGTATCCGTACTATTTCATAGTACAATGCGTGTCATTGATCTAAAATTGACAAGTACTATATATAAGCTCAATATATAAAACAAAGAACGTCTGTCTGTTTGTTGCGTTGATTGACAGTAGGTTTGAACATTTCTTTTATATTTGCTTAGAGGATTTTAAAGATGGACTGTATATTTATACCTTATTTTGTAGGCAGAATGATTCAAATTAATATAATAATGCTACAGTAATATTCGGTTTCACTTAGTTAACATGTCTTTCTTTAGTTTATATGTTCAGTTTAAATTTTTTCGTGTTTTGATAAATAACAGAGCGGGCGCTAAAAGTATAAAAAGTGTTAAAAGAAGAGGGAAATGCCCGATTTCACCAACAACCCATAAGCTACCTATGTATGGGATCCCTAGCTTAAAAGTCCCCTAAACTAGCCCCTAAATTAAATTTCGTTTTACAATCGTCTTTAAGTTATTTCGAGCACCTAAATTTAGGGGTCTCTTAATATTTAGGTGACACGTAACTGTCGGTGAAACAGAAACTGTCCCCTAACAGCCCCCTACCCATGCTTAGGGGATCCCTTAAACTTAGGTGACGTTGGTGAAATCGGAAAGTCGTGTATATATTATAGTATGTGGTGTATACACATAAAAATATGACGTATCTGTTTTATTAATAATTTGAGTGAAAAAGTAGGACTTACATACGTGGGACTAAATTTATGTATGAATGGAAAAGTGAGTTGATAAGCTGGTTGCTAGGTGAAACGTTGTAATTCAAATGTTAGATTATTGTTAGAGTTATCTATACATCGAGAGGCCGAATCTATAACTTTAAGAATTTTTGTCACACAGAAAACCAATATTTTTCTGATGAAATTTGGTATGATGATAGATGGTTATCCGGGTCAACATATTATACTTATGTATATACATAATACACAAAATATCTCATTTTTGAGAAAAAATACAAAAACTATAATGTAAGAGTATACTAATATGTAAAACCTAAGAATTTAGTTTTTGGTCATCTGAACGCAGGTGGAGCCGCGGGAAATGCTAATACATTAAATAGAAACATAGGTACAGGAAAATGAAAGTCCAGGCAGAATTAATATAAAAAAAAATGGGTGCGTGTAACCTTTACGCGCGGTTGAAGTAAAACTTCTTTGGCAAATATCGCAATTAAATGAATAATTAAATAGTGCGTATTAGGCATATTACAATCATATACTTATAGAATATCATATACGGAAAGAATATAACATTATATATTTGTCAGATAATTACAACGGTTACCATGGAAACATGGCAATGTATTCTATCTCATTCTCTCGCCGGCTTAATCCTATATATTTATGTGTCCTATGTCTTTTTAGGGTCGCATTTTCGTTTAATCGAGTTTCAAATCACAACGATTCTAATCAAGTTTCACTTCAATAATGTAGATTTTTTACTTTTATAGGTAGATTTTTCTGCAAATTCCTAAGTTTCGCTGACGGTCATTATATACGGTCATGTTATAGGTCCTAACTTAGGTACATTTTAGTACTTATTTAACGTATACGTGTTTTAGCATTTTTCGAAATTCATCCCATAAAGGGCTAAAATATGGGATGAAAGCTATTATGAAACTACAATTTAGAGAGAAACAGCGGGTTCTGCTAGTTTATAATAATTTACAGTGTTACAAACAATTCATCACTAGTCACTATACGGTGGTACCAACATCTCTGTGCAAAAGCGCGGGAAAACAAGTGAATATCCGCGTCCTCTTTATTTTTTTTAAATACATTCCTGTCGGCGAAGGTCACATAGCTAAATGGTTTATACATAAATCATTACAAATTATTGAAATATATTATTTTCCATTAAAACTCTCATATATAATAAAACAACCTTACACTACTCTTACTAAGTTGTTTTCAAATACGCAAAATATTTATATAAAAACAAAAGCCCCTAACTCTCGTAGATGTTTCACGTTAAATCTACGGCAGTGTGCCCTAACAAGCTTCACCCGATTTTTTAAGTTTGTTTATAATTCTAAGCTAACTTTAGCCTTAGCTTTTAAGTCACAAAACTCTCTACTTAATGTACTTTGGGAAACTCAAGGAACACTTCATCATAAATACTTTATAAACCTACGTAGCGTTGTTCGCTCCATGTCCAAATATTGGATCTCTTTATAAATTTTATTTTTTGACTACCTCAGCTACAGTTCATTTTCAGGAAATTCAGTCTGATATAAATGTGAAAGTGTGTTCATTAGTTTGTTTGTTTGTTTGTTTGTTTGTTTGTTTGTTTGTCCTTCTTTCATGACGAAACCGAGAGATGGATTGGCGTAATTTTTTTGTGGATATAGTTGGAGGGCTGGAAAGTGACTAATTCACAATAATTCAAAATATGGTTTAGATTTTAAAAAAGATATTTGAAAGTACATGGCTGTAAGAGACAATAGCTAATACAAGTTTTGTGGGACATAAATATTGCATTTGAAAAATAATTTTAAAAGCTCCACTCTGTAAGTTGATGAGAATAACGACACGTTTGGTTCAGTTTTATTTATATTATATATGTATTTAAAGTTATATATGTGTAGTGTATCAACTATCTGGTATCCATAACACAAGCCTTCGTAGCTTACCATGGAACTAGATGGTGCTGTGTGTTAATGTCCCAACATATTTTTAATTTACTTAAGTAAGACAGCAATGTAAACCAAACTTAATACTCATCATGTAACTTTAAGCATTTGCACCATTTAGATAACCCTTTACAATTGCGGGAAAATATTTTTAAAACATGTTATCTATTTTCTCTTGACAATAAATTGTTATAAACAATATAATTTAAATCTTAACTGTAATTACTTAAAGCTGTAATTTGTTAGAACTTCCTTCAATTGTTTAAGGGATACGCGAGCGATGTGACTCGAGTGATAGTCCACATTGTATTTCCGACCGCTCAGAAATGGTAGTGTCAGCCATTTAAAAATTTTTTTTTTTTTGAAATTTACAATTAAAAATCTAAATGATGTAAATTTGAATGAGTTTCTAAAGTTATTAAAATCTAGACGAAGTGTGTCAGAGCAAAAATTGGATAACTTTGTGAAATGTTCAATTTGTAATTTTCTCTTGAAAATTTATGAATATGCATTTCAAAAGCTTGTGTTTTTTCCTAGTGTTGTTCCACGAGCTTTTCGCTCTCGTAGAAGCTTTAAGCGCGAACGATACTGGTGTATGTGTTGTGTCTGTGAGGTAAATATTATGCTATCGGACTTTTTAAACAACTTGTAAAGTATTTTGTCAATATTATAACATTTTTTTAAACTTCTTTTACACTTAAGTAACAATCAAACTATTAATTATTTGAACGTAGTTCAAAAATGGAGTAAATATTTTGATTCATTTTGTATATTGTATATATATGTATGTATAATGTATATATCACATAACCCAAAAAAGTATATACTTCAGAGACCGCTCGGTCAATCTGCGCGAATTTTTTGTTTGAAAGTGTATTCTAGCGAGGTATTTTGAGATTTTTCTGACGGACTGGTACTGCCTAATATGGTTTAGGTCATAGAATTGAAACTTATGAAAATTAAAAAGTTATTATAAATTAACTTTAAAGTATAAGGCTAGGCTTGATTAGTTGTTACTTTGATCTTGTTAGAACAAAAGATAAGTCTAACATATTCTCTATTTTTATTATTTATAAATGTAAATGAACGGAATCGATGCCAAATAGGATATTGTAGTAACATATAAATAACTTCATTATCTGATTGCGTTGTCAATTATGCGTACGTATTGAATTCTTTATATCCTTTACGAAGACCCTTCATCATCTTCATCATCATAGCTGTCTGTATGTTCAATGTAGTTCATGTCGGTTCATGAGATAAAACCCTTTGACAGACGGACGAAAAGCGGAGCATACTATAGGATATATCAGAGAAAACCAGCATCAACTCTCAAACTTATTTATATATGTATTTTTTAGTTTCAAATACAATCTATTAAGAAACTCTCAACCACAACAATTTCTTATATTTTTCCTTCAGCTAAAAATTTCGAAAGGCATCCGTTACAACTCCCCGCCAATCCATGCCCCCTTTTTGTTTTTCTAGTCTTTTCATATATTTTTTTTTGTATTTCTTTCTGATTTTTTTTTCGGCCTGCCCATTATCGTAATTTTTAATTGGCTGATTTATAATGATATCTACTGGTATAATTTGTGCATTTACGTCGTCAGTGTAACCAGCATAATCAATTTTGTTTATGGTTACTGTTTTATTATACATTAAAATAGCGAAACCTTACAAATCCTTACAATAGTAATAGGGTTCAGTTGGTATCCTTCGGATACGGAACCCCAAAAAAACTTTTTAACAAAAAAATAAAAGTTTTCGAAAAAAAAAATATTTCGAAGTCGGTGTGCTTTGCTTTGTATCGGCTGGCATTAGGCATTGGCATTATATTAGCCATTGAAGAGTTCCACCTATCCACCTTCTAGCCTTATCATCAGATCAAGTCAACAATACCAAACCACTGTACTATCAACGGAAATAGAAATACTTGCAAAGTTCCAAGTCAATATGGCAATTAGGTTAAATTTGTCATTAGCTATTTTTCTACCCTTAGAGGTGGTATTTTTTTTGAAAATTTAAATGGGACCAATATGGAAGTATACACTTTCAAACAAAATAAAAATTCGGTTAATAAATGACGGAGTTCTGAGGTAACAATCATAAAAAAAACATACAGCCGAATTGAGAACCTCGTCCTTTTTGAGGAAGTCGGTTAAAAAGTGAATTTTCACATAAAATTTCATGAATATTATTATTTTGTTAAAGCACTTAATGACCTCTTGTGAACCGGAAAAGAGACGAATTAAAGGAAATAAAATAAATGTTAATAGTAATTAATAATTTGCTATATTATGTCTGTCTGTTTTTTACGTTTTGTGATTGTGTACTGTTTTTAGTTAAGTCAATTAATTTTGAAGAATTTCATATATTTTTGGCTTAATTTAATTTTCTTTTTATTTTATTTAAGCGTTCAAAAAACAAGACAAAAAGTGAAAAACTTCAGGATAAAGGGATGTGGCCGTGGGAAACAATGTATCCGAAGTAAAAAAGTTATAGAGGTATATATTTTTGAAGTTTAATCTTTTGTATATATATATAATATATATATATATATATATATTATATATATATCAAAATATAATATATATAATTTAAACAAAATTAGTCAAATCTGACAACGAGTCTTCCATCGCTTTGAACTTGACGAAATTTAGTTATTTTATTAACTACATAAGTATAAAGCTAGTATGTATTGTTTATGTGATTGATAAAATCTCAAAAAAACATAATCAAATTGTTTTTAATATGGGGACTCTCGTAATTTTGTTGATATTTTTGATCATGATGTGTGCGATGTTAATGTAACTGAAAATGTATTGGATAAATATCTAATAAAGAATAACGATTAAACAGGCCGATGGCCTATTCTTCAGGCGTAAATTGCTTATATACGTTTTTTATTATATATATATATATATATATATATATATATATATATATTATATATATGTACAAATTTACAATTACAAAAAATATGTTTTTCCTGTTTCAGTCATATAAAGTGATGCAAAAGCAAACAATTTGTTGCGAGGGCTGGCAGTACGGGAGTGAGACTGACACTTGTTCTCCTCAGTGCAACACGGGGTGTAGAGGAGGTAAATGCATCAAGCCAGACCAATGCTATTGTGAACCTCCAGCCATACTAGATCCAGTACAAAAGAACGCATGCATAACCCCAACTTGTGACCCACCATGCCAAAATGGAGAGTGCATATCTAATAATATTTGTTCTTGCAACGAGGGCTACGAAAATGTAAACGGTACTTGTCAACCTAAATGCGATTCGTGTATCAATGGAGAGTGTAAAGTGCCATTTAAATGTGAGTGTTTTGAAGGTTTTACTAAAAACAACGGTAAATGTGAACCAGTGTGCTTAGGCTGTGACTTTGGTAGTTGTACTGCACCCAATAATTGTATATGCATTGATGGTTATAAAAGGAATAATAGTGTTTGTTGCCCGGAAAACTGTACGATGTGTGATGAACGTGGAATCTGTCTCGATGGACATTGCGGGTAAGTTTTAGATAATACTAACACCTCCAGGTACTAAGAAATTAATTAAATATCTAATAAATCTATTGTTAACTGACACGCCGGCGTGTCCGCGGTCGTGGAGGGACTAACTAGCTAAGTGACATTTTAAATAAAATTTTCTTTTCGGATTTTTTCGCGGATTTATTTGGTTTTTGGTTCCCGACGTTACGAATGCTTTACAGTTTTCAGCAATCATGGTTACTGGAAAAACTGAGGTTTTAGACGTCTCAAAGGTCATTATAAACTTGTTACAGACGCGAAAATAAAATCTACGAAATAATCCGAAAAGATAGTTTTATTTATAGTTTATGTGATTTTGATGACATGGTTTTTTACTTCTACTACAGCTCCATCTACTGGGCTCAGATTTTGTAATATTTTAGCACTAAAATAATCATATAATTATAATTTTAATTGCAATATTAACAGCAAATATGAGTTATTTTTATCTATAATTCTAGAATTTGTTGATAACTGGACTACAGTGCCGCTTATCAGACCTTAGCATTAATAATTTCTCTCATATGCAAATATTTGTCATGTTAAATAAAGGAGAGTCTCTCGTGACCATGAGTGCAAAAACGCATTCGAAGTGTCGGCAAGAAAAAAAACTAAATAAATCCGCGAAATGATACGAGAAGATTTTGTATTATGTGATTATGATATGAACAGACAAATTGTTAAGAAGTAACACGAACTCTAATACGTATGAATGATTGTAATTAAGTATAAAAAATTTAATATATATAGATGATACGATGGTCCCCACTATGATAAGTACTCTGTTTTACGAGTACTTCAGATCACGACACATATCTGCTACTTATAAAGATATTCGTCCTTTTTACAGCAATTGACTGAAAAGATCAGTCGTCATATTATTTCTAATGTGTTTATTTTTTAAGACCATGTCTTTGTTTCAAGATTAAAATAGTCCGTCGGCGCCTCATTTAGAAACTAAATTGCATGTAAGATTTTAAAGTTCCTGACTAACCTAAAATACGAAAAATTAACCAATTTTGCCATTTTCTGTCTAATATAATACAAAAATAAATATTTTTTTCTAGGCTGCTATTTCTATTTTAGTGGCAACTAATTCAATTCTTGCTAAAGGATTTTTTTAAAAAAACGGGTAAGAATTTTTTTGCAGTAATAATTATTAAGTATTTCTCCTTGGATCGATCCCATAAGTGACATGTCGATATTAAAATTGACTATATAGATGTATTCGGGTCAGGCTCAGTATCTGGCAGGATGTTTATTGTGCGCGTGCGCAATCGAGTTGACGCATTCGATGCTAAATGAATGATAGATACAAGTCAGTTGACTGGCTAGGACTCCTTCTTACGCATCTATGTTCATTGTTCTTATATTATTAACAATTATGAATTTTAAACGATAATATTATAATATACTTGTTTTAAAATTTACCTCCGAAAAGATGTTAGGATATTATTTAGGGTTGATGATTAAGATTGGGAGGTTGTGTTTGGTAGTACTCCCTTTTCTGCCCAGTTAGTAAATAACAAAATATAAATATGTTGGGACATTAACACACAGCGCCATCTAGTTCCATGGTAAGCTACGAGGCTTGTGTTATGGATACCAGATAGTTGATACACTACACGTATATAACTTTAAATACATACATATTATAAATATAAACACCCATGACTGGGGTACAAATATTCGTGTTCATCACACAAATGAATGTTTCCAGCGGGACTCGAACCCGCGACCGCTGGCACAGCAAGAAGGGTCACTACAAACTGAGCCAAACGTGTCGTCAATCCCTCCCACCCACAAAGTCCCACATAACCTGTATGTTTGCACGTGGTATGCGTTAATGCATTTCCCAACGTTAAAAAAAGGGGTTGATACGTGAAGCTAAGACGGGGCAGGCTCCGTTAAGCTTTAGTAGGTAGTATTGGCTTTTGTTAGCCGGCGTGTCACCACCTTCCTACTTAAGAAACAATAGATTTGAACCAGAGGGCGAAAATATTTGTAATACTTTCTGCAATAGTGTGCGTGTGTGAGAGAGAGACAGATAGAAGAGGGAGATAGATAAAAAGACAGAGAGTGAGAGAGAAATATTATTTTGACAAGTTTATGAAAGGCTAAAATTTTATCGGACTCAATATATGTAATACTCTTTATGCACTTAAGTCTGTATAATCGTACAATCTTTCGTCTTCTCTAATATCATAAAGTATATTAGCAGCCCTGCAACTAATTTTGCGTACGAGGTTGGTAACATTAATGTCAGTATAAATCAGAATTAAGATGCTAATGTTGGCAGTGAGTGGCGCCAAGAAACTTGTTCAATTTTACATAAATAAATAATATATTATAACATGTTATGTATTTTAGCAACAAGAATATATAATACTAGCGACTCACCCTCGCTCCACTCGGGTTTGCCCCTAGATACGTTTTAACGGTTAGTATAGATTTCTCAGAGATGAGATATTTTCTCGCAGTAAAAAGTATCCTATATGTTGGTTGACCCGGATAAACAGTTATCATCATACCAAATTTCATCGTAATCTGTCCCGTGGTTTTCTCGTGATGCGATCCCTGGCATAAAGACAATAATTCTAAAAACTATAGATTTGGCCTCTGTATCTATGATAATGACTATTTCAATAACATTTTTCAAAATTCGACTCAGTTAGAATTTTATTATATGTATAGATTTTTGTATTTTCTATTTGGTTTGTGATGTGACCGATAAAAGTAAAAAGTACCCCATGCCACTCTATAACCTATTAATTATATGTAAAACTTAAAACTACATAACTACGTTGATTCATTACATTATATCTGAATACTAGTGCGATTTTATTTGGCACAGCGCCATCTATTATTAAAAAATCTTACACTATCAAAAATCTGATATTTTAATGTTTTGTTATTCTCCAATAAGATTTTTATAATTTTTTTATTTAATGGTTTTAATTTTTTAGCTTTCAAAAAAAAAAAATATTACTTGAAATACGGATTCGAGAGAATATATTACAATAGCTTGTTATATGTAACATGCACATCTGTACAGTAATAATCCGGTGAACGGAAGATACGTGTATCCTCTCCCGCACGTGACTGTCGCTGACGGCTTCTTTGTAACTTACTTTTAAAATCATTCAACACTTTTTTTACTACAATAACTATTTTCTGATTATAGGACAATTCATACTAATATTATAAATGTGAAAGTGTGTTTGTTTGTTTGTTTGTCCTTTTTTCACATCGAAAGCGAGTGATGAATTGGCGTGATTTTTTAAGTGGAGATAGTTGGAGGGCTGGAGAGTGACATAGGCTACTTTTTACCGCGGGAGATTACCTCACTCCCACGGGAAAACACGTTATATAATATGTATATAGTTTATCTATTTTATACCTTCTAACCTGTCATTCCTGTCACTCTCATACTCCGGTGGAAAGGCAAATCAACACGATTAGTAAAAAATTAGATACAGACTTTAGGTGCTCTCCGAGGCACGGGGTTTAGGACATCACCAACTTCACAACTTCAGGCTGTTACTGATAATTATTTCTTGATAGAAGAATTAAATAATTAAACTTGGCACGACCCGGGATTCGAATCCAGGACCTTCGGACTTCTGCCGTGACGCTACTAGCCACAAGACCACAGAGGCAATTCTGTTTAGAATCTTTTTATTTCTCATTAAGAATAACAAATTCACTTACATGAGAAAACACATTAAATATTATAACATTCACTAAATGCGAGTACGTACAAGTTACATTTGTGAGAAATACATAGTATGCGGGTAATCCTTAAAAATAATACTTAAAACTACAAACAAGTTAACAATACAGTTAGAGCAAAGCGCTAAGAATAAAGAAATCATGGAAATGGCAAAGACTACATTTTACTTTAAGTTTTTTAAGATATATTATTCAGTGAAATCGTTATAGGGATTTAGTAATTGTGGAAACCGGACTTATAATATTAGTAAAAATAATAAGAATACATCACCTATAGAAGAATAGATAACACTAATTGATTTAGAACCTTTTATCCTCTTGTGATGTAAATAAAACCGTTGGTCTTATTATGTAAAAATATTATAAATAATAGACATAATATTACGTATTTACAGTTACATGTATAGGAAAATTCCATTTGAAATTGTGTAACAACCGCAAACTTTAATTACTAATTTATATGTATATACATATGAAGCGATAACCAATGCATTGTATAATGTAGAGTATAAAAATATATTATTAGTATGTTGACATTCTAAATGTGAAAGTTTGTATGAGTTATGTGTATGTTTGTTATTCCTTCATGCAGAAACGACTGAATCGATTTGGATGAAATTTTGTACAAATAGAGTGGGTATGGCTTAGAGTAATTATTATAGGTAAGATGTAAGCGAAGCGAGTGTAAATCTCTAGTAGTAGCATGTATGTACACATGTATTTAGCCCATTTTAACGACCCACTGCTGGGTGTGGGTCTCCACTCAATGCGAGGGGGATCAAGCCATAGCCCACAACACTGGCCTAGTGCAGGTTGGCATATTTTACATGGCTTTAGAAAACTTTTTAGGTTCTCATAGTATTTTACCGGTGGTAGGACTCTGTCAAGCCTGAAGATTCCGACTGGATGGGTACCACCCCCTTATCAATTTTTACCGCCAAGCAACAATGATTACACTGTTGTGTTCCGGTTTGAAGGATAAGGTAGCCAGCGCAATAACAGGCAAGAGGCATATCATCTTAGTCCTCACAGTGACAACGCACCTGTGGTCTGCATCTTTGTAACATGGGTGACCGGTACTGCTTTCCATCAGGTGGTCTGTCTGCTCGTTTGTTACTGAACACCATAAAAAAATATACTACATACATAGTAAATAGGAACACGTTTATATCAAGGAAGCTCAAACTATATTTTTCGATCGACGCGACTGATTAACATGAAGCTTTGCAACGTTTTGTTTATTTAGATTACTCTTTACAATATGCGCTGTGTAAACTATATTGTTAAAAATATTTGCACAACTCATTTGCTCTCCCGGGCAGATATAGATCGGGGGTTCGATGAACTTTGGTTGTTTTTATAATAATTGGGCTTATATATCTACTATACATATAATAAAACTCTGAGTAGAATCTGTACGTTAAAATATAATTTTTGGATAATATTATTTAAATAGTCATTATTACCGCCGAGGAGGCCGTCTTAATCTATAATTTTTAGAATTTTTGTCTGTCTGTCTGGGAAAGCATCACGAGAAAACCACTGGACAGATTTTTATGAAATTGGGTATGATGATAGCTGGTTATCCGAGTCAACATATAGGATACTTTTTACTGCCGGAAAATATCTCATCTCTGAGAAATCTATACTAAACGTTAAATCGTAGTACGCTAGTAACTTATAATGAACTAGCTACTTACCCTCGCTTCGCTCGGGTTCGTCCCTGGATTGATTCACCATACAAACTTTCATCCCCATTTTCAACCCCTTTAGGGATGATTTTCGGAATAAAAATCCTATATCCTTTCCCGGGTCTCAAACTATCTTATTATTAAATTTCATCTAAATCGGTTCAGTAGATCCAGAGATTATCCCCTACAACGTCATAAACACACAAACTGACAATTCACAAACTTTACCTCTTTATAATATTAGTATAGATAAGACATGAGTCTTTTATACGAAAATTAGTTTTGCTACATAGTACTTCTTTTCCAGGAATATAATAAGTTTTAATTAATTACTTTGTATGGAAAAGTAAGATAATTACCAAAATACCTTACAATAAACTCATTATATAATACATTGCATTTTAATGTTCGTATATCATTAAAATTAGTTGGAAAAAATAAACACAAAGCTTTCATTAATTAAAATTGAAACAAAGCGTCAATTATCCATAATCACTACTGATAAGAGTTAAAAATGAATACGCATACATATATGGAGTTCAAAAATATTAAAATGCTGTGTTATATTTTCTAATTTTTCTTATATTTATTATTTTTGCTCGTGTTCTTCCCTAGGTTAATTCTCCATACAAACCTTCATCCCGATTTTTACCCCCTTAAGGTATAGGTTCCGGGATAAAAACATCTAAATCGGTCTAATAGTTTCGGAGCTTATTTGGAACAAACAAACAAAAAAATTTCCTCTTTATAATATTAGTATAGATAATGATTTCTTTGATTTACGATTTTTATTCATTTAATATCTCTACATATAAAGACTTTCGTGTATTTACGTTGTTTATTACTTTCTTTGTACTTCAGCTATGCTTGATTAGGAGATTTTTATATGGTTACCACTTGTGATTAAATAACAGATCCTGAGATCTTTTTTCCGGGATAGGTATAAGGATAGTTTATTGGTGGTATTGGTCCCGTAAAAAGAAATTAAAAAGCAAATTAGTTACGAGTATAAGCCTGTACCTAGAAAAGCCTTACGTCGTAGAGTCTTACGCTTTACACTAAATTTCCACATTATAATAGCGATAGGCATAGAGCGTGTATTTATACTTGCATGCACTGTGCAATTTAATATGTTCGTGCTTTGATTGGTAGCTGTGATCGTTTGGTCGGAAGGACTTTACGCACAACTTGTACCTTCTAATACAATTTCTGTATAATTCAGTATCATTTAATTCCTACCTATTGTGTAATGATGATTAATTATTACATATTATAAAACAAAATCCCCTCGCTGCATCTGTCTGTGTGTCTATGTATAACATAAAAACTACCAAACGCTTTTTCATACTGTTTTCGCCAATAGGAGAATGATTCCAACACGAAAGTTTGGGTAGATAATTCATTAAAGTTTTGTGTAAATTGGCCGAAACATGACAATGTTGTCGGAAAAAATCTTACCAACTAAGAGCTTTAATGTTGTACGTCGCGTAAGCTATTAGAGTTATATGAAAACAATTTACAGAATTATTCGCATCTAGGGTTATAAGTTTACATAGGTTCAAAAGTAAGTACGTTTTGAATCTCGACTATGAAATGTAGTTTAAAATACATTTATCTATTTAAGGCAATTTTTTTAACCGTCAAACAAAATACTTTCTTTAGGTTTACGCGAATATTTGACATTTTAAATAAAACTATCTTTTCGGATTATTTCGCGGATTTATTTTCGCAGCGTCGGGAACCAAAAATCAAAATAAATCCGCGAAATAATCCGAAAAGATAGTTTTATTTAAAACGTCAAACAAAAGTTATCTATTAACTTTATTAAAAGCTATTGAATACAAAAGTAAAAGAACTAACCTGTTTTAACTATACGGATTGTAGCTTTCCATTTGTTTATACTGTATTTTATTCTACGAGCAAATTTTACTTGACGATTGAAAACCCTTCGAAGATTTTTATAACAAATATTGTATTTCCATTAAGTTGTCCCATTTTTTTATTAAGGTCGTGTATTAAGCGATCAGAATTTAAATGGTGAGCAATTAATGTCATTCGATTTAGTGTAGCGTCCATGGAATATTAATTTGATAATAAAACATTCGGCGCCTCACATGGCTCGTATTGTGTTTGCCAAAATTTATTTTGACAGATTCTTTGTACGGTGTAGAAACTCATAAATTTGTTTTTTTAGTATTTGTTATTTTTATTATTAGTATTCTAATGATTTAACACGTTGCATATGTAAATAACCTCAAACAATATTTTTTTATAGCTGTTATGAACAAACATATCATTTAGTTTTAATTTTTTTGTTTACCAGCTCGCAGACAAGATCTAGTAAACAAAAAAAATCTAAACTCTGAACAACAGAAAAGCATAAATTCTTGATTTAGTTGAATGAAAGTAAATAAATCGCGAAGTTTAGACAGATTAGTACCTATAGTAAAAAGTTGCATTAATGTTATATATATATATATATATATATATATATATATATATATATATATATATATATATATATATATATATATACTTGGAAGGTCCAATTACGCATAAGGCTCTTTAAGATATTGTTATGAGCATTAGCTAGGTTTCGTCTTCGTGTAAGCTATAGAAATATAATTAAAGATGAGACCAAATTAAATAAACTATAAATATTACCGGATAAAACAGCCCCACATGGTCTAACTTTATTGCACAAAGTTACCAAAGGATTGATACTCGCAATTATAATATATCTATATAGAAATTCCAACGGGAGTGGTGAACGGTGTGAGAATATCAGGACGTTGTACTGTCTGTTTATTCACATCTCGTCTCTATCTATATACACTACCCAGCGGAAGTCTATAAACTCACCGGCGCTATGCAAAATGTTATTGTTCATCACACACAGATACTATTCTTGTAGAGTATTCATTTATTCACTGTCTTCTTAAAATAGAATCGTGAGCAAAGATAACTTGAAAGTTTATCGGAGCTTTTAAGTTTGTAAAGCTTATTAATAGATCAAGCTCTGTGTATTTTAAGATAGGTAAACAAAACTTTTGAAATTCTCATATAAAGTATTATAATATTAATTTAATTAAAATGTAAATCACCAGTTGTGACCCGTAACTCCGCCCGCGAGGCATGTCATAAAAAGAAAGAGAGGAAGAGAGAGAGAGAGGAGAGTGTGAGGGAAAAAGACAAATGTACATGTACATAGGTATATATATTATCCATACTTTTAATATTATAAATGTGAAGTGTGTGTGTTTGTTCTTCTTTTACGTCGAAACAGAGTGATGGATTGGCGTGATTTTTTTGTGTGGAAATAGTTGGAGGGCTGAAAAGCGCTAAGATTGAGATTATCTCATTCCCACGGGAATAATTTACAATATTTATAATATTTAGAGGTTCCGCAGGTTATGTCCAACGTACAAATAAGTTGTCAATTTTACTTCTTTATAATAATATACATAAAATATTAACGTGGACAAATAAAAAGGACAGTTATCTAGTATATTTTAATAACAATTAAAACATAATAGATTTCTCTATTACTCATTAACCTATACCTTACTATTAACAATGAACGCGAAAACTTCGCTTTCTTTTACAAAAGTGAACTTTAAATCAATCGGATTATTCAAAGAGGTAGTAACGAACCGATTTTATGATTTAAATAATTATTCATAACGCACAACATCCTGTATATCGTTAATTTTTTTTGGGGTAGTTCTTACGGTACTACAGTTTAGTTACGAATGCTCACTCACGGGAGGCGATCGTGCCTGTTATTTATAAAATATATGTGGGAAAACAGTAAAGCGTGGAATAATTTATTACACAAACGGATGTGATAAAGGGTATCGCGAATTGTGTACGTCCTTTGCAGTGTTTTATAGCTATATTATATAGCAGTGGCTTGGTATTTAAAAAGCTAAAATGAATCTGCGGCCTGTTTTAGGGATACTTATTTTATTACCTGTGTGTCTGTCACTAAAACAGGGAGATGAGGGTGTTTGTATGACGAGGATAAAGTGAGTTTATATTAGATACTAATCTTATAATTTTAAATGAGCTGTTGTTATACGTATATGTAAAATTTCGTGTATCTCCGAAACGGCTGTAACGATTTGGATGAAAGTTTGTATTTAGATAAGGTTTTGATTTTTAAGTTTTATAGAAGTGTTTGTTTTTGGAAAAAAAAGACGCAATTTTTTTATCTTTTTCGAAAAATGTCAAGCGAAGCTCGATCGCCCAAGTACTATAATTAAGCTAATCATATAATTTAAAGGTTTCATTTTATATATATTTAACATTAACAAAATGAAAAATAACAAACTGAAATATATATATATATATATATATATATATATATATATATTACTGCTTATAATATATTTATTAAGGTATAGGCAAAGAAGTATAACGATTATTTAGTTTTTGAATTCTAGTATAACGACATTTGCCTTTGAAAATACATATTAAAACGTGGAGTCACACTTAACGAAAACACGCTATGAATTATTCTTTATATGTTATTTTTTTATTCTTACATGGATTTATATGCAGCTGCAGATAATCTAATGGTACTTCCATCGACCATTTCGATTTCCTCTGATATAGAAATAACATATCTTGTGCTTACTATAACACTCTTTGTCGCAATCATATCAATATAAATATATGTGTTCTACTCGAGAATCGAACGCACAATCAACGTTCAAAGAAAGAAGACATTACTAGACTTTACTACGCATTATATGAAATAAATGTTTGTTTATGTAATTATAATATTCATCTCTTCCATTCATGTTTGGAAAACGTAGTGAATGGTGTCCTTATATATAGCTTGTTAGTACAAAAGCCATTGGATGGTACGCAACCACATATTATGTATCCCTATACTAACATATACATACTGTCAGTTTTTTTAAATCAATTCAAAATTAAAAAAAAGTACCTTTTTCTCTTCTGTTTGTCAATGGTTTTTTTGTTTAATAGCTATTGATGAGTTTTAGTGTTATCAATAAAAAAAATGGTCGAATTCCCACAATTGGGCCAACTCTGGTTTAGTTTAGTTAGATAATTTTGCGCATATGCCACGGTTTTATTTCAATTTTAATTAGCTTCTAAACTATATAATCAAACTAGTGACTCACCCTCGCTCCGCTTGGGTTCGTCCCTGGGTATGTTTTAACAGTTAGTACAGATTTATCAGAGAAGAGATATTTTTCCGCAGTAAAAAGTATCCTATATGTTGACTCGGATAACCAGCTATCATCATACCAAATTTCATCAAAATCTATGCAGTTTGTTTTCTCATGACGCGTTTCCAGACAAAATTTAAAATTATAGATTTAGCCTGAATATAGTCTTTCTAGATAATAATGACTATTTCAATAAGATTTTCCCAAAAATATTAATTAATGTACAGATTCGACTCAGTTAGAATTTTAGTATATGTATAGATTACATAATGTAAAAGGCAAGTTTTATCTCTATTAAGTAATTGTTATATGAAATAATTTATTTTTATAAGAATGAACCCTTAGTAGTTCTAACAGTTATCTAAACTTTATTTAATAAAAAATAACATAAAAAATAAAACTTACTCTACCTGCCAAAATATAAGAGTAAGTTAACATTGTGGTATTATATATTTGCAAAACAATATGGAATATGTATGATTTATACAATAGCTAACATTGTTTGAAAAATATCCAGCTGCAAAAAACTAAAATCTATACATATAATAAAATTGTAACTAATCCGAATCTGTACATTAAATATTTTTTGGGAAATTTTATTGAAATAGACATTATTATCGATACAGAGGCCGAATCTATAGTTTTTACAATTTTTGTCTGTCTGTCTGTCTGTCTGTCTGATACCGCATCACAGAAAAACCACTGGAGGGATTTCGATGAAATTTGGTATGATGATAGCTAGTTATCCGGGTCAACATATAGGATAGCTTTTACCGCTGGAAAATATCTCATTTCTGGGAAAAAATACGACAATTACATTGTAAGAGTATACTCATATGTAAAACCTAAGAGTTTGGTTTTTGGTCATCTCAACGGGGGCGGAGCCGCGGGCAATGCCAGTTTAGTATAAAAAAATATCATACCGATACGGATATTTTAAGCGCCCGCCATTTCGCGCGCTTGGCGTGATGTCAAACTATAATTATCATTAACAGAAAAATGACTACTCAATTTGTTCCGACAAAATCGCTTTTCGCTCTGTTATGATAATACTCTGACGTCATATTCGGTCTGACCAATGGCATGCGTTTCAACTACTTTGAATTTTCCACTTATATTTATACTTTTTAATAATTATTTTCTTAATTAAAAAGAAATTACATTAAAAAACTTTAATATAGAATTGATTAATAAAAAATATTTCAATTTTATTTAGATCACACACATATTTCCTTTTATTTTATTTATATATTCATCCAAATTCACTCAGTAGTTTTAGAGATTAGCTTACTTATACGTACAGAGAGACATTTCTAGGTGATTTCTTTTTATATAAGTTAAGATTTTTTTCATACTGATTTGGTTTTGTCAGCTTGATACATTCTTCAAGTCCATTCCTACAATTCCACGCGGACATGACTTGTGTAGTCATTTTCAAGCGAACAATTTTGCTTTGTATATTTATTATTTTGCATATATTTTGTTATATATAATTTCTATGTTTTTTCTTTTTTAATTGTAAATAAAAGTTTATTAAAAATGGTTATAAGTAATTATATTTTTGTAGAATTTGCAATCTCTGACCAAAATATTTATCGTGAGTGAGATAAGATCCTGAGACCTTCAAAAAGCGATATACTCGTATGTATATTTACAAATTTTCACAATTTCCCATTCGTAAATTGAATTGCGAGTACAAATAAAATAATAAAACAACTTAGTTTAATAGTATTAATTTTACTTTTGTTTGTTTCAGATCGCGAAATGTGAGTCACCAGTTGTTTTGATACCGATGGATAAATTTAAGGATAAAGTATACGTTAAGTGTAGTATATTATGCACACATTTCAATATATTAATTTACATTATAACGTGATATTTTTAATTATTATGGGATTATTTGAAATGGGGTTATTAGAAAATATTTCTCTAAGAAGCTGAAAAGAGAACGTATGCCCGCTTCATTCAGTTTATTTTAAACTGCTATTCCACAATGTTGCAGTTAAAAGTAGTCAATTCAAATTAAAAAAAAATCTTTTTATTTATATTTAATTTTTGAAAATAAAGGGTACTTAATGGATTTTATATACTTCAATGATTTATTAATTATTTTACCTTTGCAGGGACTAATATTACGAGCACATTGTTGTGCGGGGTGGGAGTACGATGCAAGAGAAAGCAGATGTAAACCTGAGTGCAGAGGCTGCGGTACTGGTACATGTGTTGCTCCGAATAAATGCGCCTGTCCCCCGCCATTAATAAACAGGAGTGGCCGGTGTATCATGGCAAAGCCGACATGTGATAGCCCCTGTGTAAATGGGATGTGTACAGCACCTAACGTATGCACTTGTAAACGAGGATACACACCTGAAAGTCAATACACATGCGTACCTGAATGTAATGAACCCTGCGTCAATGGCATTTGTGGTGCACCCGATTCATGTACATGTAATAATGGCTATGAACCCATTAATGCCACAGTATGTGAACCCAAATGCAATTTATGCTTAAATGGCGATTGTGTTGAACCTAACGAATGTAGATGCCACGATGGCTATTCCATGGAAGATGGCGTTTGCAAACCTGTCTGTGACAAAACATGCGTCCACGGAGAATGTACAGCACCAAACATTTGCACTTGTGATTCTGGATTTAAGCCCTTAAATCCATTTACTTGTGCCCCAATTTGCGATCCAATTTGTGTGAATGCTTCTTGTGTGGCACCAAATACCTGTAATTGTAATGCTGGGTATGAACCAGTTTCTGGATCGATTTGTAAACCTAAATGTGATTACTGCTCCTATGGGGATTGTGTTGGACCTAATGAATGTCGTTGTTACGAAGGTTATACGATGGTAGATGGAGTATGTAAGCCTCAATGCACTCAGCCCTGTGTCAATGGCAAATGTGTCGCCCCTAATATATGCACATGTAACACTGGCTATGAATCTGTCAATACCACAGTATGTCAACCCAAATGCAAGTCTTGCTTGAATGGTGTATGTATTGGACCCAACAATTGTAGATGCAATAACGGCTATATCATGAGAGGTGGCGTTTGCAAACCTGTCTGCGACAAAGAATGTGTCCACGGAGAATGCATAGCACCAAATACATGCGCATGTGATTCAGGATTTAGACATACCCCATTAAGTCCATTTACGTGTGTTCCAATTTGTAAACAAGGCTGTGTAAATGGTATATGTACGGCACCAAATAAATGCGATTGTCAAGAAGGATATCAGTTTGTAACAGAATCGATTTGTAAGCCTGTATGTACTAAAGCCTGTGTTAACGGAGAATGCACAGCGCCAAATACTTGCACCTGTGCTCATGGATACAGGGCAAATTCTCTTGACCGATTTACTTGTACACCAATCTGCGAGCCACCTTGTGTAAATGCTACGTGTGTCGCACCTAATACCTGTACCTGTAACTTAGGATTCCAACCAGTAACACCATCAGCTTGCAAACCTACTTGTGATAATTGTGCTAACGGAAACTGTGTAGGGGTAGATAATTGCCAATGTCACGATGGATATGAGATGAAAAATGGTACATGTACACCATCCTGTTCTGAAACTTGTGTAAATGGATATTGTAAGGGACCAAATAATTGTGCTTGTTTTGAAGGATATATAAAAAAATCTGATCAATCCTCTATATGTGTTAAGCCTTGCCCAGACACTTGCACGAATGGCAGCTGTGACTCCACTGGTTTATGTACATGTGACTCAGGCTTCGAATATATTAATGGTACCTGCGTGGCTCTAGCATCGTAAGTAAATAATAATTTAGCAATTAATTTATTAATAATAATAATAAATAAATAAATATGTTGGGACATTAACACACAGCACCATCTAGTTTCATGGTAAGCTACGAGGCTTGTGTTATGGATACCAGATAGTTGATATACTACACATATATAACTTTAAATACATACGAGTACATATTATAAATAAATGTGTATGTATTTATTATTCATTATTATTCATTAATCCGTTTTATTATTTTTTCATTAGATAATTATGACCATTGTTCTATACTTATATTAATTATGAAATATTTCGAATGAGTCAGTGTATTTGTTACTTTTTCAACAAGTTTAAGTGAAATTCGGAATAGATATAGCTAGTCCTAGATTTATATACAGGTTACGGCTATATACAAATCTAGAACTTTTATTGATGTACCGTCCAAGCAAACACAGTAAAACTATGTATATGTAATAAACATGTTTCATCTAGAATATAAATAACGTGATTAAATTTTATAATCTAATTTAAGACTAGCATATTTTTTTAGACTCGTATATTTTTTTGGAAAATTAAATATTAATTACAAATTTTAATTACAAGAATTACATCTGTACTATTTAATTCCTATTCAGCTCTTTAGTGGTAGAACTTGAAGAAATTCTTCTAAGAATAGACCGTTTTTATATTGAAGCCCTCGAGCCCTAGTAGTTTGGTCAGGCTAAATATATTTAGACAGGACACTTTATTTATGTGTAAAAGAATTATAAAAAAAATGACTACTATTTCTACATTAGTCTACTTAATATTATTATTCTGTAATACTAGCAACTAACCCTCGCTCCGCTCGGGTTCGTCCTTAGGCACATTTTAACGATTTGTATAGATTTTTCAGAGATAAGATATTTTCTCGCAATAAAAAGTATTCTATATGTTGACCTGGATAACCAGCCATCATTATGCCAAATTTTATCCAAATCTGTTTAGTGGTATTCTCTTGATGCGTTCTCAGACAGACAGACAAAAATTCTAAAAACTAGATTCGGCCTCTGTATCGATAATAATGACTATTTCAATAAGATTTTCCAAAAAATATTTAATGTACAGATTCGACTCAGTTAGAATTTTATTATTATTATGTATAGATAATGTATAAAATATTATTTTCTTACTAATTTCTTTTTTAAATATATTTTAATGATATTCAAAATTAATTTAATTTTGTTTTAATTTCAGCATGAATTGTACTTGCTGTGAAGGCAACTGCACTGCTGGTGAAAACTTGTGTCCCGATCACTTCTGCCCGTCCGTGGCTCAAGTAGCTTCTCCAACAGGGTTCGTAGATTAAAAAAAACTTTTATACCTAACTTATGGCAAAACGTTATATAGGATTTCATAGAAAAATAGTTATAAGAATCCTTAGGACTGAGACATTATATTCTATCTGCTGAAAAAAAATTCACCAGCAAAAAGAACTTCTTACTCCAATTATAGGCAATAGTTACACTTGAGAGACGATGGCTATTTTTATCACCATAACACGGGAGCTGAACCAAAGAGAAAAGCTAGTATATTACATATGATTTCTAATATTATAGATTATTATACATAAATAAAATAAATAATACTGAAGTAAAGATTTTTTACTTTTTTATTTACAGGTTAGCCGGTTTAGAACTGACATGGTTGCTGTGCGCTTGCTTGGGGTTGATTCTTCTCACTCTATCCATTGTCATCATAGGACACATGTGGAGAAAGCGCAAGGAGTTTGACACTAAGAATCCTAATTCAGGTGCATATCTATACTAATATTATAAATGTGCTAGTGTGTTTGTTTGTTTGTCCTTCTTTCACGTCGAAACAGTGACAGATTGGTGTGATTTTTTGTGTTGAGATAGGTGGAGGGCTAGAGAGTGACATGGGCTACTTTTTAGCGGAAGATTATCTTATTCCCACTAAAACACGTATATGAGTATTTATAATATATAATCTATCTATTCCATACTAAAAAACGTACCTAGGCATGAACCCAAGCGAAGCGAGAGTGAGTCGGTAGTTTTTTTATACAATAAGTGCTACATCTTCTGTGAATCAGGAGTGTTGGATCTTAGATTTGACTTCTATTTATTAAATAAGTTAAATTTCTACTATAGGTCTATTTCAAATATTGGTAATATATGGAAAGTTCATGTAAGTTCATAGCTACGTAACAAAAATACATAGTCGTTAGATATAATTTTGATTTATTATTCCGCATGTGTTCAGCGTACGATGCTTTTTATTTTAAATTAGATATTTTTAATGATACCTCTATGGGCTATTTACGTAAAAAATTAAAGCAAATTGTTTAGTTTAATAGCTGTTGTTAGTAATTAATATTTTTTTTAAGATTTTTCGTTATTGTTATCAGATAAAAGCCGTCCCTCATTGTTACCGTTGGTTAAATCTCGTTTTTTGTAATATTAAGTTTTGTTGTATATGCATGCTGTGTCTCCATCTAGAAAAATGCAATCTTGTGTATTAATTTTGCAAGCTATTCTAATTTTATGTGTATTTCATTGTTATTTGTTTTGTGGACCAATAAACATAAATAAATAAATAAATTAGGTATCTAATATCTATAGTAAACGAAAACCCCCGTTCAGTTATTTTTTACTTTCTAGTTTTTTCTAAGTCGGTTTAAATTTTTTTTAAAACACTTTTTTTACTTTTTCTCCTAGTAGACCTAGCAAATTTGTGAAAGACTTATATGGAGTCCGCCAACCGTAATCGTACTATTAAATTTTTATCCGAGTTAAACTGAAAGCTCAATTGATTCAAGAAACTGTAGTTTTGTCGGCATTGTGTTAGACGTTTTTTTTTAATATATTTTTGAATTTTTGCCGTTTTGAATATCGTCAAATAACTGTTAAATTTATTTGGATGTAGTGTGATGGGAAAAGTGGCCTGCATATATGTATGTTAATGTAAATAAAATTCGTCTATTTCTATTACATTTATTCGATTAATATGATTTTAACACGCTTTCATTAGCTTCACTTGTATATCTATCTATCCAATTTTTAAACTTCAGATCCAACTGAAACTTTGCACATTTTACAACGAATGATGAAAATACAATAATTTAAAAAAAACACGCGGTGATAAGAGTTCAAACTAAAAAAATGGAAAATAAATCATAGTTTAAAAACCTGAAAAACACGCTGTAATGATGAACCGAACTAAATAAAGTGAAAAATATAAATATTTCATTACTGGATTTTTAAAAGTAGAGTTAGTATAAAAATACTTAGCACCACACTCTTTTTTCACAATAACATTAAGTTTTTTGTTAATCAATTTATTCTTATAGTAAAAAATATTTTTCCTTTTTAGTTCGGTTCATCATTAAAGCGTCTTTTTTAGTTTTTTAAACTATAATTTATTAGCGTCGAGATACTTTATTCACAGGAGATTTACATAGTCCACATTTTATCCCGTTTTCACCTAGAAATGCTGCGTTCCTACTTAAATATAAAATGATTTATCGATTCGTCTATCAAACATTATATGCAAAACTTGAATCCGCATTACCTTTTAAAGTGGGTTCAATTACCGCCTGGTGCGTTATTGTACTATAAATGTATCCTTGGAAGCAAAATGATGAATCACTTTGATAATTCTGTCAAAAGCGTGAAGATAATAATTTATTCATTAACCGAATTCAAAGAAGGAGGTGGCTTTTTATTAAGTTTTTTTTACATTAACACACAACACCATCTCGTTCCATGGTAAGCTTTGAAGCTTGTGTTATACCAGATAGTTGATACACTACACATATATAACTTTAAATATAAACACCCATGACTGGATTACAAATATTCGTGCTCATTACACAAATGAATGCCCCCAGCGGAACTCGAACCCGTGACCGTTAACACAGCAAGAAGGTCACTACAAACTGATTCAAATGTGTCGTCTAATTATTTACGTCCATTATTTATTATATTTGTTTATTATTTCAACAGGAACAAACACCTTAGGAAGTGTAGTTTACACGCTTCCAGACACGTTGAAATATCGAAATTATCCCGATAATCAAATAAATGAAGAATTTGACGAAGAAATTGAAGAAGAAGACGAAGAAAAACAAACTGCCGAACAACTTTTAGCGAGCAAAATAGTATTCGAACACGAAAAACTTTGATATTGTATGTGTTTAACTGGTTTTAAACGGAAAGTACTTTTTAGCCAATTTAACTTAACCGTAGTAAGAAGTAGCTTTATTTATAATATCTTTTATCAAAAACAAAAATGATTTTTGGTTAAAAATGGTTAAAATCAACAAATTTCGATGCTATAAAACGAAATTTTAGTACTTACATTTATTTATAAGTTCAAATAAAATTAACATACATATAAAAACAATAAAATATTTCGATTACCATAAAGTACAAACAGGTAAGTTAAAATGTAAATAATAATATTTTATCGATAATTGGACGACGCGACGTGATATTGTGATTATTTGTACGATATAATATTAAGATTTAAAAATATTAAAATTTATCGTATTTCCATTTTTGTTTTATTATTTTTATTCACAAGTTTAATATAATTTTCCTTGTGGAGGAAGAATGAAAGAGATAGACTGATGAGAGATAGAGAGAGAGAGAGAGAGAAATCTTAAGTTATAGCACATACTAAGTCTCATTCAGGGATCCATTTCTGTGAAATCTAAAACAGCGAATTGCTAAAAGATGAAATGTGCACTGGTTGAGGTGAGAGATGAGGTGTTCAAGGGCGAGTTTCCCCATTATTAGCAATTTGAGCAACGACCAGGGAAGCTTTCAGGAAAGTCAGAGGCCGGGAACAGCGTGTTTTCTTCCTTTGGTATTTCATAGGAATTATAGGCATTTAATCATAATTATAAGAATATATTTAAAGGTTTTCTATTAGCGACAGTGGTTGTAGAATGTTATCTCATTTTCTTAGACACGACCATTTCTTGCATCATTTGTAAAATGTTGCTCATTATACAATTTATAATTTGATTTGTTGTTTTGCTTACTTAATAATTCTAAGGTTAAGTTCATAATCTTATTTCTATATTTTCTATTTCTATACATAAAATAAAATTGTTACGAAGTCGAATCTGTACATTAAATATTTTTTGGAAAATCTTTTGAAATAGACATTATTATCGAAACAGAGGCCAAATGTATAGTTTTTAGATTTTTTGTCTATCAGTCTGTCTGTCTGTTACCGCATCACGCAAAAACCACTAGAGGGATTTTCATGAAATTTGATACGGTGATAGCTGGTCATCCGGGTCAACATATAGGATACTTTTTCCCGCGGGAAAATATCTCATTTCTGAGTAAAAATACAAAAAACTGCATTGTTAGAGTATACTAATATGTAAAACCTAAGAATTTGGTTTTTGGTCATCTGAACGCGGACGAAACTGCGGGCAATGCTAGTTAGTGTATATGATTAATGATATTACAACATGACAGAAGATTTCATAAAAATAAAAAAGTTATTTTACAGCTACATTGTTGTAAATGGCTTCATTTTTTAATAAACAAACGGTGCGTTCTAAAATATTGCTTATCAATGACCTGATTATATTTTTAATTATACACACATTTCATCATTAGTTAATTTGTAATATATTTATTTTCATTAATCAAGCTGAATTCTCATACATAGTTTCTCTTAATTATTGTAGAGGAGGTTTTTGTTCGATCACTTATATTGTAAATACTTATATTAGTAAATTACAAACTGTTACTACTAAAGTTTGGACAATCGACTTTTCGACATGCTTCACAGTTTGATGCAATTCGGTATGATGATAGCTAGTTATCCGGGTGAACATTTTTACTGCGGGAAAATATCTCATCTCTGAAAAATCTATACTAAACGTTAATGTACTTAGGGACGAAACCGAGCGGAGCGAGGGGGAGTCGCTAGTTCTAGTAATAAAATCTAAACGTAAAATCGTTATAAAATGTTCATCATGAATATGAACCGACTTAAAAACCATTTAAAAGATTTTTTCTAAAAGATATAGGCGAATTATATACCGAGAAAAAAATCACATTTTTTGCTATTTATCCCTGAGAACTCTTTTGCTACTTATCCTTGAATGTACTTTTTGAAAGATACAATTACATATCTATGTAAAGCCCGCCTACCCACACTTGGCCAGCGTGGTGGACTATGGCTCAATCCTCCTTATATTGACTGGCTAGTGCCCAGCAGTGGGACAATAATAAGTAATTAGTTAATAATCATTATTAAAGTCAATCAAAAACATTATAACGATTGTTAATTTACTGACAGACTAAGAACACTTGCAGCCTTGACCGTGTTTGAAGCTGTATTTAGACTATAACCACAAAAATACACATTGGGAATGATATGATCACTCAAGGTAGTTTTAACGTTGAGGGTGATATTTATAAATTTTTAGTTTTTATAAAGAAACTAGTGGCTCACACTCGCTTCGCTCGGGTTTGTCCCTAGCTTGCTTCCCAATACAAATTTTTATCCCCAATGTCACCCCCTTAAGGGATGATTTCCGGAATAAAAAGTACCTTATGTCCTTCCCAGGGTCTCCAAATTTCTTCTTACCAAATTTCATCTAAATCGATTCAGTAGATCCAGAGATTACTCTCTACAACGTCACAAACTCACAATCTCACAAACTCACAAATTTTACCTCTTTATAATATTTTTATAGATAAAAAAAGATATTAAGTTTCTTTCGGTATTTTTTCTCATGTTTATCATTTTTCTCATGTTTATCAGTTTCATCATTTTTCAAAGCGCTTGTAGTTTTTAATAAAAAATGAGTTATTTCAGAAATACCAACTTTAAAAAATTCGCCTTAAAAGCTACCGTTTTAATTTAAATGATTTATTACTCAGGTCATTTTTTTTCAAAGTATGTAAGTACCCTTGGCTTGAGTACATCCATACTTTAATATTATAAATGTGAAAGTGTGTTTGTTTGTTTGTCCTTCTTTCACGTCGAAACGGGGTGACGAATTGACATAATTTTTTGTGTGGGAATAGTTAGAGGGCTGGAGAGTGACATGGGCTTCTTTTTACCGCGGGAGATAATCTCATTCCCAGGGAAAACACCTTATAATACAAGCCAAAAATCACATAACGCTAGCGAAGGCGCGGGTTCTGCTAGTTGATAATATTATGTATTAAATCGATTTACAACGTACGAAAAATCGCCCAACATGTACTTAAAAACATACGCACAGTTAAAAACCTTTATAGAATACAGCTAATGCTTTTTGAACTTATGCTTCTTTTGGGACGGTTTTTAACGTTTTTCGAAAAAAAAAATAACATTCGTAATCGATCATCAAGTTAATATTAAACTTCATACACAGAGATAAAGTCATATTAATAAATAGTACATATACGATGGTACGGGAACCCTTCGTGTGCGAATTCGAATCTGAATAAACTAATAATGACTTGTACAGTATAATTAAGTATTCATTTGTTATAAATTATTTGTTATATATGTATTTATTGTATTCGACCCTTTATAACGTCCCACTGCTGGGCGTGGGCCTCCCTTCAATACGAGGGAGAACAGGCCATAGTCCACCAAGCTGGCCAAGTGCGGGTTGGCGGACACATGTGCTTGCTAGGTTCTCTCAGACATGCAGGTTTCCTCACGACGTTCTTCCTTATCATAATCATAATAATGTAATCATGCTGGAAATGATTCGCAAATGTAAATATCAGAGGCCTGGGATTTGAACCAGTTTCACTCGATTTAGCATGCGAACGCGTTACCACTGGGCTACCTCAGCCTCGTATATGTTATTAATATTTTATTTTTATATATAATTAAGAATATTTGTAATTTTCTTTATTTAACAGTAACCTACTCATATGTCACTTCATAGAATATCTGTGTGTTAAATTTTATCCAAATCTGTCCAGCCGTTTAAACTTGACGGATTACAAACATAAAGACGATTATAATTGATTGCATTTGTGATGCCCCAAAAGTCACTATTTCATTGGCGGCTATAACAAAAGCATAGAAGACTCTAGTATCATTAGTATTATTTAGGTCATAGCAATCTTGCAGAAAAATCTTTTTCTAATTTGTCCGAGATTTAATCTAATCGCTGCAGCCGCTAAACGAATTTGAGTGAAATTTTGAATGTAGTTAACTTTTATTTTGGATTTGCAGATAGGCTTTTTGTCGACGTATCACGTAAGCGGAGTCGCGGGCGGAAACATGTTGGAAAATAACTTATATTTAAAACATTTTAAGGTTTAATATAGATTTCTCAGAGATGAGATATTTTCCGGCAGTAAAAATTATCCTATATGTTAACCCAGATAACCAGCTACCATCATACCAAATTTCATCAAAATCCCTCCCATGATTTTTTCGTGATGCGGTAACAGACAGACAGACAGAAAAAATCTAAAAACTATAGATTCGAACTCTGTATTGATAATTATGTCTATTTCAATAAGATTTTCCAAAAAATATTTAATGTACAGATTAGACTTAGTTACAATTTTATGATATGTATAGGATGTCTTTAATTTACCTTCAATTTCTTACCTATCTATGCCTTCTTCTTGCCATAATAAATAAATGACTGATTATAATAAACACAATAATATGGTCAAACGGAAAATATACTAACGATAAATATTTTAACAGCAGTTTTATTTTTGTTACATTTAATGTTTTTAGCAGCTTAATGAGTACAGGCATTTTCCTGCATAAATTGACTACTCTCGCCCCCGGAATTACCTGTGCTTTTTGTTATTTGATAAGGAACTTACGATTTTTTTCAAATAATACAATACAAATATAAATAAACAAATATAAGAAGTTTAAGTATAAATTATGATTTTTTTATAGTCGTCATGACTTTAAGAAAAAGTAGACCTAGGCGATTAAAATTTTCCTGACTTCTTTGAATTACATATACAGTGGCCACTTGTAAAAGTACATATTATTTCATTCAACACTTACAGGGATGTTAATCATATTTTGCGGTCAAGCTTGGTTATAATGAAAATTAATATTAAATTTTGTGACAAATTGACAAAACGGTAAATTACGTTATATTTGTTACCAGTAATTAGTTTCGACGGCAAACTCGACTTTACGGCAGTTTCAATTCATATGTGTAGTGAATAATACCCAAGTTCAATATGAATTTAATCAACATTTTCTGTTTCATTTTTCTGGTAAGATATTTAATTATGGTTTTTTTTATTTCTCGGCAGATCTTTTAGATAATGATTTTGATAAAAAATGCTTTATTAAGTTTTTTTTTGTATTTCATAAAATATTTGGTGAAAAGCTAAATTTAAAGCTCGTAAACAATTTCAATATCTTTTGTGTATATAATATATTTTTTTTCATTTTAAATTTAAAAGTGTTATTTGTTAATTAGTATTTTTGATAAATTCTTTTATATCAAATGGACTTTCGCAAAATATTTGTATGATGCAAAAAGCCTTAATTAAATAAAAAACTTTTATGTTAAAGTTAATGAATGGTAAGTGATTACGTAAAGTTGGGAAATGCATTTACGCATACAACTTGCATATAAACAGGTGGTTATGTTGGACTCACCGGCTAGAAAAGCCAGTACTACCCATTAAAACCCAACAAAACCCTCCCCGTCTTAATGATGCGTCCCAGGATCACTTGCGCACTCAACCACGACGTCTCGACAGCAGGTTTATTGAAGCAGACCACAACAGCCATGGGGTTGTTCCAATGGTCCACTCTGCTATACTAAGTACCAAGAGCAACCCGCATGGCACATCACCCACCAAGGTGGGCCGTCTCCTAGTGCGTTTCTTGGCTTCGTGCCCGGCTGGATTTCCGGATGCTAATGAGCCCCCCGCCCCCTACCACCACGACAAGGTGAACGCACGTGTGGGGGGTGGACTTCAAAGAGTTTCAAAGGGTGTTAAAATGTTCAGTGTTTTATATTTTTAAACGCTTATAAGCACGTACTCTTGTGGCTTTTCAGATTTCTTTCTAGCTTTCTTTCATTAAAGGCTAAACAGATAAATATTAATTATCTATGAAAATACAAGTAAAATAAATTGTAATGATTAAATGTTTATGTTAGTGCAATTTTCAACATTTCAAAATAACTGCCTCAGAGGTAGTTTTGGGAGAATAACGACTTTATTTAATATTCTGATAGAATAAGGATAAATTTAAGCTCTATTTCAGCTAAATAATCAATTCTTTACCAACCTAAAAGGAGTAGGTACTTCTAATAAACTTTTATACTATAGGAATGTTTGTATGTTTGTTCTCTATGCGTTTCTAAGTCATTGATCCGATTGTGAAGAAACTTTGGTGGGTTTTCTGTATATGGTAAAGATTGTAGGTGCAAAAAAAAAAGATATTTTTCTTTGCAAGTCTGGCTTTTATGTATTCCTAAACCATTCAATATAAGGACGCACCCAAGTGAAGCGAGGGTAACTCGCTAGTATATAATAAATTAAAAAATACCGGCTATTCCAAAATAGATAGCATACGAGTGCGTCATTTCTATCATATTTTCGTCTTTTGCAGTAAGTACTCCTAATTTAGGCAGTGGTAGCCCAGTGCTAACACGCTCGCTTGGGAGACCGAGTGAAGCGGGTTCAAATCCCGGGTCTCGCACCTCTGATATTTTCATGTGCGAATCATTTCCAACATGATTACCACTTGTCTTAACGGTGAAGGAAAACATCGCGAGGAAACCTGCATGTGTGAGAGAACCTAGCAAGTTTTCAAAAGACATGTGAAGTCCGCCAACCCGCACTTGGCCAGCGTGGTGGACTATGGCCTGATCCCCTTCGTACTGAAGGGAGGCCCGTGCTCAGCAGTGGGACGTTAAAAAATGGACAGAATACATACTCCTAGTTTTGATTGCGAGGAGCGCCCTAAAATATAATATTTAATTATTTCTTATATTATTAATAATATATTTATTTTAAGGCATGCAGTATGATAATAGGGAAAATGGTATAATTAATTATGAAGTATTAATAAACGGGGTTTCCTACTGGGTGGTTTCCATTTACGAGCTATTATCATTTATTTAAATAATTAAAATACACAAAAAAGGAAGACTAACGCAGTGGTAACCCATTAGTAGCATGTTCACTTAAATATCGAAATGAGACTGGTTCAAATCTGGGTGTCGCACCACCGATATTATCTGCCAATCATTTTCAACATAATTGTCACGCTGAAAGAAACATCACGAAGACATGTAACCCGCCAAACCACGATAAACCAGCGTGGTGGACTATGGCCTAAACGTCCTGGTGCTGTACTGGCTATATTTGCAATATATTGCCACCCTCATTGTGGATTGTCGATACTTACTATATCTGGTGATACTAATGAATTAAATGCATTAAATCTAGGAAATATAATTATACAATTGACTAATAAAATTCCTTAATATGATGCTATGTAAATATTTTTGTTGCAGACTACGTATGCCCGTGCCTCAAGCGATGAAACTCTAACGACATCGACGGATCTCACCATAACATCTACGGACGGAATCACTACAGATACCACCCCGTATGAGACGGTGAGTGTTTATCATTATAGTAAGGAGTAAAATATTTTTTTTTTAATTACCTTATATAAACTTTTATTATAGCATTTTGCATATTAATACCATTGTGGAAAAGCTTTTTTAAAAGGAGTATGGATATATGGCAAGCTTTTTGATAAAATCTAAATAATCAGTAAAATGAGCTGTGTGAAGAGAAACGAATATTTTTACGTTTTATTATTTACTAGCAGAACCCGCGGCTTTGCCTGCGATCAAATTACGCATACTGAATTAAAAAAAACTAAAATACATGTTTATTTAATTGTATTGAAGAGCAATAATACCAAATTTCAAGTAATTTTAATCATAAACAATTTTTTCCTCATACATAACAGCACAACCCCTTTTACCCTTTTAAGGGATAAATTTCGAAAAAAATTAATATTTGTACTGTTTGATTTTCATTTCAAAGGTAAATAGGTACCACTTTCTGTGCTTCAATTACATAATTTTCTCCCCCCATACAATTATATATATTTTTTTTTATTTTCTACTTACTAAAAAAAATATATATAAAGATTTTCAAAATGTACAACATATCTTCTAAACTCAGTTTAGGTCTTCATTTTAATTCTAGTGAGTTATTTCTTGAATATATTGAATATATACATATATTATTATTTATCTACTCAGTATAGTCTAATATCAGAAGTAAAGTTGTCCTTCACCAATCTATTTTCGGGATAGAACGTATTTCATTTTTCATAGATCGCCAAATGAAATGCAGTTATTGGGACATATAAAATGTGATCACACTACAGACTGTTCTGGTTTTTCTTAGACTGTTTTTAACCCCCGACGCAAAAAGAGGCGTGTTATAAGTTTGACGTCGATGTCTGTCTCTGTGTGTGTGTTTGTCTGTGGCATCGTAGCTCTCAAACGGATGAACCGATTTCGATGCGGCTTTTTTCATTTGAAAGCCAGTTTTCTTGCGGTGGTGTTTAGCTATGTTTGGTTAATATCGGTCCAGCAGTGTAAGAGTGTCAGTTCTTTTCCAAAATGATGTAAGGCATTTTGGCGTATGATTACTCGATTAAGTGCTTCAAGCGTGCCAGTGTAATCGTTAAATGACAATTTGCGTAGGGGGTGATTAAATTTTTTAATTCATAATTATATTAGTTTAACAAAAATAAATATGATTAATTTTTGTAACAGACTTCTTATATAAGTGACCGGTTTGACGAGTCCAGTACAAGTGACGCTGCATATACTACAGGAGATTCCTTTTCAGACAGTATTACATCGACAACCGTGAGTTTTTATTGCTATTATACGAGTACATATCCTCTTTTACCAATGGATCAAAAGTACCTAATAACTTCAATCTTGTTAATGGCTTCAAAATGTGTCAGTTGACTTAATAGCTTATGTATGCAGGTGTTATTATTAAAAAAATAGTTTTTATTTATTTATTATTTATTCATAATAGAAAGCTTTTTTGTTATAGCTTTCGTACGACAGCATCTCAACCATTGAAACTCAAACAACTACAGAGACTTCTACAGACGTGGTAAGGTTCTTAGATTTACGCGAATATTTGATGTTTTAAATTAAACTATTCTTTCGGGTTTTGTCGCGGTTTTTGTTCGTTTCCAACGTTTCGAATGCTTTACAGGAAACATTGCCACGCGGGAGCGTCTGTTTCTTTCAAACAAACAATCAAAAATATAAAATAAAACTCACGACAAAAACCGAAACTTAGTTTTCTTTAATGCTAACGTTTTAGCGTTTAGTATAGATTTCTCAGAGATGAGATATTTTCCCGCAGTAAAAAGTATCCTATATGTTGACCCGGATAATCTAAACTATGATCATATCAAATTTCATCAAAATCTATCCAGTGGGTTTCTCGTGATGCGTTGCCAGACAGACAGAATTCTAAAAATTATAAATTCGGTCTCTGTGTTGATAATATTGTCTATTTCCTATAAACCTGAAATATCATGTAGCTTAGGTTTTGTTATACCTAGTTGATTTTTACGTAAGACATTCCTTACTATCTGAAGACATAGTAGACTAGTTTTTATAATTTGACCCAAAAATTAACTTCTGATTCTAAAGTAGAACGTATTAATACTTCAGAAATTATTTCAAGCATGCAACAATCATCACTTAATCAATTAATCAAGTTATCTATACATATAATAAAATTGTAACTGATCGCTGTCTGTCCATTGAAGATATTTAAGAAAAACTATTATTGGTTTATATTATTTATAAATTTAATAGAACCCAAAACAATGATTTTGTCTGTCTGTTTTTCTGTTTGTCTTTGCGTTTATGCGCGCTAATCTCAAAAACGGCTTAACGGATTTGGGTGCGGCTTTCGCTAATATATTGCAGCAGGCTTCACTTAAAATTTACTATTTGTTTTATTTCAATCGGTTCATAAATAAAAAAGTTATATCAATTTAATGAATCACTTAGGCCCGGACATTAGCCAAGCGAGGGTGAGTCGCTAGAATAAAATAAGTATATTCAAAAGAAAATCAAATGAATAATATATTTATTTTTTAAAAAGCCTGAAGACCAAATACCAGGCATTATTGATCCAAGCGTTATTCCTCGTGGAAACTTCGGCACTGATTCGACACCGAAACCTTTGGAACCGTCGAGTGATGGGAAGGGGTAAGTGTTTTTTTTAAGTGTTTAGATGAATAATGCTCATAAATATTGTCGACACTAATATTATAAAGATGTAAAGTTTGTAAGTTTATTACTTGTAAGTGTAAGTGTACCTATAGAGTAATCTCTGAAACAAAGTTCTTAATTTTTTGTCTGTCTGTCGCTCTGTCTGTGTGTTTTTATTCAATAAATACGAAGAAGTTACCTACTAAATACCTTTAAGTGACGCTAAGATACCTAAATATCAAATTGATATACCTAAAAAAGTCTTAATAACTTATATTATCTTACTAGCGATTCACCGTCGCTTCGCTCGGGTTCCTCCCTAGGTTGATTTCCCATACAAACTATCATCACCATTTTCACCTTCTTAAGGGATGATTTCCAGGATAAACTACCTATGTCCTTTCCAGGGTTTCAAATTATCTTCTTGACAAATTTCATCTAGTCAGTTCAGTAGTTCCAGAGATTATTTCCTACAAACAAACTCACAAACTTTCTTCTTCTTAAAGTGCCATCTTCTTTCGAAGGTCGGCGATCATTAAGGCAACTTGTATCTTTGATGCCACATCTCTGAATAAGGAACGGGTGCTTTTTCCAAACCATTGGCGTAGGTTTTTTAGCCAAGATGTTCTTCTTCGACCCACATTTCGTTTTCCTTGGATCTTTCCTTGTATGATGAGTTGTAGTAGGTCGTATTTTCGGTTTCTCATTATGTGGCCGAGATATTCAAGCTTTCTTTTCTTTACTAAGTATAAAACTTCAGGTTTTTTCTTAACGCGACTTTGCACGGTTACGTTTTTTATTTTGTCTCTCCAGGATATCCTTAACATTCTCCTGTATACCCACATTTCGAAGGCTTCAATCTTCTTACAGCTCGATTCTGTGAGGGTCCATGCTTCAACGCCATACAAGAGAATGGAGAAAACATAACAGCGTGCTAATCTTACTCGGAGCTGGATGTTCAGCTTTTTATTGCACAGAAGTGACTTAAGCTTAAAGAAAGCATTACGGGCTTGTTCAATGCGGCACCTTATTTCAAGACTGTGGTCATCCGTATCATCAACCCAGCATCCCAAATATTTGTATTTGCTAACTTTTTGTAGAGGTTGTCCATTACATAGTAGAGTAGAGTTAGCAGGTGGTATTTTACAAACTGTCATGTATTTGGTTTTCTTGGTGTTGACACTAAGGCCATACGTTGAACTAACAGATTGGATTTTATCTATAAGGATCTGAAGTTCTTCCATTGTAGATGCAAGCAGTACAGTGTCATCGGCATAACGGATATTGTTAATAATCTGTCCATACACTGTAATACCTATATCCATCTGATCCAATGCTTCACTGAAAATCATCTCTGAGTATATGTTAAAAAGAATTGGCGAGAGAATACATCCCTGCCGTACTCCACGTAAGATTTCCGAATCATCTGTTAGTCTGCCCTCTATACGTACATTCGCCGATTGGTTCCAATATAGGTGTTTAATAAACCTTACGTCCTTAGAGTCACAAACTTTACCTCTTTTTAATATTAGTATTAGATTCTTTGTGTTTCAATTAGAAATTAATTACATATAATATAATTAACAATCGAAAGGAAACAAAAACTTGGTCAATATTAAGATTGTAATGTGTTTATGATATGGTTCAATATTCTTTTTATAGCCACGAATTAGAAATACCAGAAGAGAAAGAAACAGATGTGGGAAAAAAGAAAATAATCAACACTACTAATCCAAGTATTCTTAGACCTGAAGACAGTGATAAGAGGTAAATAGTTAATAAATTTTCATCTAAATTATTATCTTATCTAGATATGAGATTATATGATTATGAAGATAATATAAAATTACGTATAACACGAAATGCTCAGTGTTTTTGAGACATGCTTTATTTTTTGGATATTTCGCTAGAATTTTTAAATGTTTTGATATCTTTTGGTCTGCTACCTCATTAAGTATTACTAGTCGATAGATGTTCTCCTAGCCGATTCCGGCTACGGCGGCCAATCTCATTGAGATTAGCCAACTGCGCAGGAGATATTATAGTGCACAAGTGTACGCGCAGACACAAGTACACTCTCTATTCCTATCACTCTCATATTCCGGTGGGACGACCACTCGACACGACCGGTGAGAGTTAAGGCGCAGGACCGACGGCTTTACGTGCTCTCCGAGGCACGGGGGTGAAACACCGCCAACTTCCCAACTCCGGGCTGTTACTGAGACTTACTATACAAAAAGACTCAATAACTAAACTTGGCCCGACCCGGGACTCGAACCCAGGACCTCCGGATGTGCAGCCGTACATGCTAGCCACTACACCACCGAGGCAGTCGATAGATTAGTCTATATATGACGTTTTTAAGAAACTTAAGTTTATTGTGTCATACAATAAAAGGCTGTACTAAAAACTTACTTGACCGTGGTCAGTGGTGTTTGAGGAATATCACTTAAAATGTTTATCACTTATACGACGGAAGTTACAAGTAAAAGCTAAATAGAGTCGTTTTTGAAATAATATATTGAAGGTATAGAGATGTCTTTCATAAAGTAAATAATAAAAATCGGTTCTGCATCAATCTATACATATAATAAAATCGTAACTAAGTCGAATCTGTACATTAAATATTTTTTGGAAAATGTAATTGAAATAGACATTATTATCGATACAGAGTCCGAATCCATAGTTTTTAGAATTTTTGTCTGTCTGTCTGTCTGTCTGTTACCGCATCACGAGAAAACCACTGGTTTCATTTTGATGAAATTTGGTATGATGATAGCTGGTTATCCGGATCAACATATAGGATACTTTTTACTGCGGGAAAATATCTCATGTATACTAATATGTAATTAGTCATTTTATCTATAGGCAAATACAAAACTTTTCTCCTCTGTTTAGTAGTTATGAACGAGATTTAGTGTTATCACGGTAATGATGTATAAATATTACCGTGGTGTTATCAATAAAAAAAATATTTTGGTAAAATATCGATTACTTAGCGAATACTCGTTTTAGGAATTGACTGTTTTTGTCACTCTGATTCGTTTGCAATTATTAATAATTTAATTATTTTATTTCATTAAGCGGTGACTTCGAAATATCGAAGGGGGGTAATGTCGATGCCAGCAATACAGAAAAAAATATGAAAATTACTGACGCAGGGTAAGTTATTAGTGATTTTTAACCGACTTCAAAAATGATGAGGTATTTAATACGGTTACATTTTTTTGATTAAAACGTTTTTAAAAAGTTTGTCACTTATGCGATGGAAGTTGCGAGTAAAAGCTCTATAATCCATGCGAAAATAATACATTGAAGATAATATCGAGATGTCCTTCATGAAGTGAAAAATGAGAATCTGTTCTGCATTAATATTTTATATATATAAATAGGCAAAGACAAAAAACAGTTCAGTAACTTTTTCTTCTCTGTTTGTTAACCGACTTTCTTTGTTTAATAGCTATTGAGAAACTTTAGTCTTATCAATAGAAAATGATTATGATTAAATTTATTTGTTTTATGTTTATTGGTTCACAAAAGAAATGACAATCAAACACATATAAAATAACAATTATTTACAAAATTAATACACAGGATTGCATTCAATTTCGAATTTTTCTCATTTCGAAATATCGACGACTTGACCAACACTAGTTTTAGAAATTGACCGTTTGTGTCAATCTGATTCATTTATAATTTTTAATCATGAAATTATTTTATTTCATTAAGCAATGGCTCGGAAACATCAAAGGGGAATGATAACGTTGTCAGCAGTACAGAAGAAAAGATGATAAATACTAAGACAGGGTAAGTTATTAATGATTTTTAACCGACTTCAAAAATAGAGAGGTTATACTTTCTTGTTTTCCAATGATTTTTATAATTCTTTGCTTAGGGAACAATCTGTACCTAAAGGCATATGCTATAAAATGAAAAAAAGTTCTATTTTGATAATTATAAATGTTCCAGACATTAGCTTGCTAACAAACAATCTCTTAAACTTTATAACATTAGCATATAAAGTAGGTTATGAACCCATTATAGTATTCTTTTAATCACTTGAAGAACATACTTTAATATAAAATAAAAGAAGAGAATATACTATCTGATTAAGAAAAAAAAGTTCACTAATTTCTTACTTTTTATAGCCTTAAAGTTGGTTTACATTTTTCTATAATAATCTTATACCTTTAAACGAGCAATTCTTGTAGGTATATTTATTTGTTTATTTATTTATACAAGCGATCTCGGAAACGGTTCTATCGATTTCGCTGAAATTTGGTACGTGGGGGTTTTCGGGAGCGAAAAATCGATCTAAATTAGTCTTATGTTTGGAAAAACCCGTATTTTCGAGTTTTCATGCGGTTTTCTTTAGCATTATTTCACGCAAAATATGGTCGCTAATTTCGCACACTCGGGAATAGGCATCGTGGTCAAGGTGTCAAGGCGCAAGATTGACAATCACAGGTGTCCAGGTTCGAATCCTGCTCGGATACAAAGTTTTTACTTTTATTTATTTTTTGTATTTATTCAAGCTTTTAGTTTTTTTTAACCTAAATTAAAAAGAATGACTTCATAAGTAGAATAAATTGTATTATAATAAATTTTAGGTGCTTTTAGAAGAGTTGTCAAACTGCATACTTACGTACGTCATTTTGGTTTATTCATTAAAATACCTCTTTACAATCGGTAAACAAAAAAAATTGGTGTTTTCTAGTAATTTAATGTTCTATATTGTTATTAGCACTGAATCGAAAGTATCAAAAGGAAAAGCTGCTGGTATACTGGTGGCTTCGTGTATACTGGCTGTGGTGATAATATGGATCAGTAAGATGGTATACACTCGGTACCAGTCGAGAACATATGGTAACTATTTTTTTATCTAGGTTTTATCTTTATATAGACTTAGATATATATATATATATATATATATATATATATTTATATCTTTTCGGATTATTACAAAAAACTACAAAATACTCTAAAAAGTTAGGTTCCATACAAACTTTTATCCATATTTTATCCCCTTATGGGATGAATTTCGAAGAAAGCTAAAACACGTATTTATTTAATTGTATTGAAGAGAATTAATACCAAGTTTCAAGTAATTCTGATTATAAATATTTTTTGGATTGTATTATAACGTGTTTTCCCGTGGGAATGAGATAATCTCCCGCGGTAAAAAGTAGCCTATGTCACTCTCCAGCCCTCCAACTATCTCCACACAAAAAATCACGCCAATCCGTCATTCCGTTTTCAAGTGAAAAAAGGACAAACAAACACATTTTCACATTTATAATATTAGTATGGAAGTGTTAAATGACGCGATCGTATGACGCAACGTTTTATATAAATAGAGTTTACTTTCAGCTAGGATTTTTTTTTTTAAATCTAATAAATTAGTTAATATACTACAATTTTTATTATATTACAAATGTGAGAAGAAAAATGTGAATGTGTGTATGTTTATCTGTCAATTTGTTGAGGAAATTAATTTGTTGCAAAAAAATACCTAATAGTAACCTATTGATGTGTTGTGTTTATTATCTTTAAGTATTTCTTTAAATATTATTTTTATTTCAGATGTAAGGCATGGTATAGAAATGCGAAATCCATAGACAAAACCTTATTGTATAACTAGTTACAGCCCGCGTCTCCACCCGTGGGTGTCCTTATGTCTTCGAATGTAATTGCACCACGTAGAAACAGGGATTCAAGTCGCATCTTGTAATCTAATCGACTGATTAAAAAAACCTAATTATAATCTTAATTATCTCGTGTACATTAAAATGTCATTGTAATTTGTTTAGCTGTTCTGAAAAAAAAATTACTTGTACTTAATTATTTCAAATTTATATATATTTTAACACAATTTTCAGGTTTTTTTATATGTATAAAATACATTATTGGCATTTTAAAAATTTGTTATATTATGTGATTAAATATAAATAATAATATAAATTAAAATAAATAATAAATAAAAAATTATGAAAACATAAGCTGTTTAATTCTACCCTTTTTTAATTAGATTTTAAGATATATAGTTATAGTAGAATGAATCAAAATATTTTTTTGTATGATATTTTTCATGATTCTGAACCGTCTTCTTGTAATGAGATTAATTTAATTATAAATTTATAGGTCGTTCAGTTTAATTTTAGTAACTTAAAATATTATAAATCAAGGTGATGATTTATAATAGGATTCCTATATAAATAAATATTAGTCTGGCGAAGGCCTGTACAGATTTCTAACTCACCATATAGGTGTATTTTACTGCCTTAATATTGTTTTTTTATTTCAAAACTTTTACTTGGCAGTTTCAAGCTCTAAATGCCAAGCCAGGACCAATCTGTCAGTCAAGATTGAAACTACTAAAAAGAAAAATATTTAAAAAAAAGTAATTACATAAACAAAAAAGTCCGGTTGCTTAAAAGCGAAATAAAATGAAGGGCCAAGTTAACAAACAAAAATAGTATTATGTCATCGGAGACATACGACTATATAAATATGTACAATGTACATGCAGCAAGACTCGCAGCAAGGATAAAACATGTGCATTATATATAATATGTCATACATACATATATACAGGTGAAATACATAACCCTCCTTTGGGCTTCGTCGCAATCGGGTAAAGAACGTTAAGGGATGCTCAATTACTGTTTGTAAATAAAACTAGTGTGGAAAGTTGAAAATATGTAATATATGAAAAATATATCATAATATTTTCTTAGATTTACGCGAATATTTGACATCTATAATATTAGTATTAATATTATAAAGAGGTAAAGTTTGTGAATTGTAAGTTTGTGACGTTGTAGGGGGTAAGCTCTGGATCTACTGAACCGATTTAAAGAAAATTTGGTAAGAAGATAGTTATAAAGAGACCCTGGAAAGGATATAGGATACTTTTTATCCCGGAAATCATCCTTTAAGGGGTGAAAATGGGGATGAAAGTGTGTATGGAGACGAGGAGACGAAATCAAGAACGAATCCGAGCGAAGCGAGGGTAAATCGCTAGTTTTAAATAAAACTATAAACTTAGTCTCTCCCGTGGCCATAATTGCTGCATTCGAAACTTCGGGAACCAAAATCAAAATAAATACGCAAAAAAATCGGGAAAGATAGTTTTATTTAGAAGCTATCATAGTTTGTTGTTTTTCTATAAATTATTTCTGTCCAATATGGTCTAATAATGGTGACGAATAAATTATCAGTGGACAATAACTTTAAAACGGATGTAGTTGCACATTTTATATGAATAATGCGATAATTTTTCGCAATGTAGGGTGACATTATGTAATTGATATTCTCTTAATTTGGCTATATATTTAGAAAATAGCGACTCATCCTTGCTTCGCACCGATTCGCCTCTGGACAGACAAAGCAAATGTATCCCACGGGAACTATTTAATTTTCCGGGATGAAAAGTATTTAAAATGTTGACCGTGGATATAAGGTAGCACCATGCAAAATTTCATTTAAATCGGACTAACAGTTTCGGAAATTAGCCCGTACAAACAGACAAACAGACAGAGAAACAAAAAATTGAAAAAAACCTGTATTCATTCTATTACAAAGTTATTTCTCTATCTACACGTAGGAAAATACTTGATATAATTTTTTTGTACAAGCTAATTCATGGGTATATTGACTCACCTGATCTTTTACAACGACTGAACTTTTGTATACCACGTCCTAGTAGTCGTCTACAAAATCGTAAGACATTTTGTCTTCCCAACGCGAGAACTAATGTAATAAGCCACTCGCCCTTATTCCGCATGTGTTCAGCGTATGATACTATTCGTTTTAAATTAGATATTTTTAATAATACCTCTATAGCCTATTGACGTAAAAAATTAAAGCAAATTGTTTAGTTTAATAGCTGTAATTCATATATTTTTTTTAAGATTTTTCTTTATTGTTAGTAGATAAAAGCCGTTCCTCATTGTTACCGTAGTTTAAATCTTGTTTTTTGTAATATTAAGTTTTGTTGTATATGCATGATGTGTCTGCATCTAGAAAAATGCAATCTTGTGCATTAATTTTGCAAGCTATTCTTATTTTATATGTATGTGATTGTCATTTGTTTTGTGGACCACTAAACATAAATAAATAATAAATAAATAAATTTCTCTTCTAACATCCCCCTGACTCGGTTTTTAGCTTTTTTTTCTATGTCCAAACATTCGACCTCTACGTTTTTATTATATGTATAGATATATAATCTATTTGTTCCATACTAACCGTTAAAATGTATCTAGGAATGAGCCCGAGCGAAGCGAGCGTGAGTCGCTAGTTTATAATAAATAAATATTGTAAAGAAATGTAAATATGTTTTGTAGCCATTATCATAATTATAGGTTAATAAATCCATACTAATATTATAAATGTGAAAGTGTTTGTTTGTTTGTTTGTTTGTTTGTTTGTTTGCTTGTTTGTTTGTTTGTTTGTTTGTTTGTTTGTTTGTTTGTTTGTTTGTTTGTTCGTTTGTTTGTTTGTTCGTTTGTTTGTTTGTATGTTAGTTTGTCCTTCTTTCACGTCGAAACGGAGTGGCGGATTGGGGTGATTTTTTGTGTGGGGATAGTTGGAGGGCTGGAGAATGACAGGAAACTTTTTACCCCGGGAGTTTATCTAATTCCCACGGGAAAACACTTTATAATACAATCCAAAAAAAATATTTTTGATCAGAATTACTTGAAACTTGGTATTAATTCTCTTCAATAAAATTAAATAAATACGTGTTTTATTATTTTTCGAAATTTTGTAGGAAACTACCATTTTAGGGGGGGTTTTTTTGTAGTTTTAGCGCTTCGCCGGGACTTCTGCTAGTATTATTGTAATTATATTTAATATCATTCTAAGACATTTTGCATGTCTTTAGAATTTCCTGATAGGAATTGTACAGTATGGCCATCCTACTAACAGTATGATTGGTAGTTATGTTTGTAACGATATTGTTATTCATTTATATTCTCGATCTTCTCTTTACATCTAATTTTTATGTGCTGTATATATAAAATGATTTACATATTAAAAGTTATGTATATTGGTGTTATTTTATTAGTTTTCATATCGAGTACGTGCTCTCAAATATGTACCAAGCGAGAAAAGTTAGTATATAAAGTTAATTTATAGTTTCTAGACACGTTTGCCTCAGTTGTATAAGTTATTTATTTATTTATTTATTTATTTGGATCCACTATTGATAATTATCAATTTCAATGTAATGTATTATATGTAATTTTATTAATTTCATGTAATTACATAGAAACATTTTTAAATTAATTACACAATTTAACTTAATCCTACATTAAAGCTAAGTAACATGGAAGCATTAAACTTCAAAGAATAATTAATTAAATAATTAAAAATAAAAATAAAAAAATAATGTTATTGAGACATTATTAAAGCAAAAATTACATTGCAAATGCCTAAAATATATATATGTATTCAATTTATTTACTTTAAGTTCGTTTTATTTTAACATTTAACATTTTATTACTTTGCTTGGCGTTTTCTTAATATATCTTCTTGAAATTTCAGCACGGTCAAATGGAACACAGTAACGTATTTTCGCACTTACCGAGAAACATATAAGGGTAACTGCTTTTTCCGGTGTACGAAAACGAGATTGAGATCTTTTATCGACCAACGGTCAATACCTGTGAGTAATACGAACTTTGACCCTATATATCTATCTATATAGCTATCATATTCGTAGCTAGTCTGTCTTTTACAAGGTTATTTGCAATTTTCACCTCAAAATTTTTTTTGTATCGTTTTTGCAACAATAACATTAAATACAAATAAATAGCAAATTCGATTTTATTACAACACTAGCGGCTTACCCTCGCTTCGCTCGGGTTCATCCCTAGGTACGTTTTAATTTTTCGAGCGGGGCCCTAATTCTTGTATAAAAGAAAAGAAGTCTAAGTTACTTCTTATAACATCAGCTATTCGCCAGTGAAAGTCCTGTCAAAATCAGTCAGCCATTACGGAGATTAGCCGAAACAAACAAACACAAAAAATTTAAAAATTGTTTTTCTTATAAGTATCTATCGTATATAATTTCATATAAATTTAGTAAAAAGCCTTTATTTTGATATTACAAACAGACACTTCAATTTTATTTATCTCTATAGATTTTTAGTTACGTCTATTATAAGATAATTTTAGCATTTTTTATAAAATAATTGTAACATTCTCTTCCAAATAGACTATTGTTAGGGAAGATAGACAAGTGTGCTGTCCTGGATATATGGTGGATGAAACCGCTTCAAGGTAATTACACAACGTAGTATAGGTTAGAATTATTTAAAGCACTTTTTCTTTTTTATCGATAAAGCAGATTTTTCAACTAAGCCTTTAATACGAGCTATAACAATAATTAAATATAATAAACATTTACCAGTCAATACGAAATTTTAACATTTCGCTTTAATAATGAATTTAAGATAGAGAGTATGATAAATAATGTATATTATGAGTAACTAGCGACTCACCCTCGCTTCGCTCAGGTTCGTCCCTAGTTGCTTCCTGTTACAAACTTCATCTCTATTTTTACCCCCTTAAGGGATGATTTACGGGATAAAAAGTATGCTATGTCCTTTCCAGGGTCTTAAGCTATCTTCTTACCAAATTTCACCTAAATCGGTTCAGTAGATCCAGAGATTACCCCCTACAACCTCACAAACTCACAAACTTTACCTCTTTATAATATTTGTATAGAAAACTCATAATTAGTTGTTAATCAAAATGGGTATTATTATCTTTTCTACAGCTATAGCGTGTAGCACAATAGCATACAAATGTAGCACAACGATCAAAAAGATACTTATTTAAATATATTGTATACTAGCATTGCTCGCGGCTCCGCTCGCGTTCAGATGACCAAAAACCAAATTCTTAGGTTTTACAAATTAGTATACTCTTACATGGCAGTTTTTGTATTTTTTCTCAGAAATGAGATATTTTCCCGCGGTAAAAAGTTCTATATGTTGGCCCGGATAACCAGCTATCACCATACTAAATTTCATCAAAATCCCTCCAGTGGTTTTCCTGTGATGCGGTAACAGACAGACAGACAGACAAAAATTTTAAAAACTATATATAGATTCGGCCTCTATATCGATAATAATGTTTTTTTTCAGTAAGATTTTCCAAAAAATATTTTATGTACAGATTCGACTTAGTTACAATTTTATTATATGTATAGATTATACGAGTACCATACTTTAATTATAGTTATTCTTGATGTAATTTCAATTTCAGCTTAAGATGTATCCCACTTTGTATACCCTCGTGCAATAACGGATATTGTGTAAGTCCCGGTAACTGTTCATGTAAGGAAGGGTACGAGCTCCAATCGAATCGTTGTATACCAACGTGTACTAGTGCATGTTCCCACGGTACCTGCGTACGACCAAATGAATGTGAATGTGACTTTGGTTACAGTCTAGTCAATAACACGTGTGAAGCAATTTGCTCGGAACCCTGTGTTAATGGGACGTGTGTTGCCCCGGACACATGTGAATGTTTTGTGGGATACAGAAAAAATGATGATAATTTATGTTTGCCATATTGCTCCACTGGATGTCCAAATGGAGTATGTGTTAGTCCTGAAACCTGTTCGTGTAACGATGGCTGGTATAAAAATGAAACAGATGGACAAAATTGTGAACCTCGATGTGATATTGATTGTGGTGGAGGAAGATGCGTTTCTCCCAACGTTTGTGAATGCTATCCAGGATATCAAAAATCTGAAATTGGTACATGTTTACCAAATTGCTCTAATTGTTTGCATGGAACTTGTATAGGACCAGAAAATTGTACTTGTGATGAAGGATGGTATAAAAATGAGACAAGTTGTATGCCTGTGTGTGATTTTGACTGTGGTGGAGGGGAATGCACAGAGCCAAATATCTGTAAATGTTTTCCTGGTTATGTAAACAATGAGAACGGGACTTGTGTACCACATTGTTCTGACTGTTCCAATGGACTATGTGTCAGCCCAGAAGTGTGCCAATGTAATGAAGGGTTTTTCAATAATGGATCAAATTGTCAACCTTATTGTAAAATCAATTGTGGTAATGGAACTTGTGTCGCTTCTGATACTTGTGAATGTTACCCTGGCTATCAAATAAATAGTGAAGGCGATAAACCACTTTGCACACCAGAATGTGAGAATTGTACAGGGTATTGTATAGCACCTTATGAATGTACAACACCCGATGTTATTATGACTACAATAAGTTGTGACTGTAATGAAAGCTTCTTCGATGATGATTGTGATCGTGCTTGTAATAGCGCAACAGATAGTTCAGAAACAACAACAGAGTTAAGTACTAGTGCTGAAATATTAGAACAAAGTACGTTTGACGATTATGATGGAACTATTGTTGATAGTCACATGAGTGATGCTTTATTCAAAAACAATAATGTTTGGTAAGTAATTGTAATCTGTAATTATAATCTTATATTATTTTATAAATATATTCTATAAAGAAGTATATTCTATAAGAACGCTAGAATCCTTAAATTATAAAGACTTCACTATTTTCTGATTTTTTGAGTTATCTTATTATTTAAATGAATAACTAATAAAAATTCGAGATTTTTGCAAACTACTATATATGATGGTCAAAAAGGTAAAAGCACATTTCAGTTAAATTTAGATTTAATAATAAAAAAAATCTATTTCAGGATATCCTATTTACCTCATATTTCAGCAACAATTGGAACGTTATTATTGATGGTATTACTATCAATTTTGTTCATTAAAAGAAAAGAAGTTGCACGAATTTGTCATGGAGGTAGCTACAGTGTTAAAGGTATTTTTTTGTTTAATTATCATTGTAGGTACTACTTATCTATACATATAATAAAATTATAACTAAGATGAATCTGTACATTAAATATTTTTTGGAAAATCTTATTGAAATAAACATTATTATCAATACAGAAGCCGAATCTATAGTTTTTAGAATTTTTGTGTGTCTGTCTGTCTGTTACCGCATCAAAGAAAAACCACTGGAGGGATTTTGATATAATTTGGTATAGTGATAACTGGTTATCCGGGTCAACATAGGATACCTTTTACCGCGGGAAAATATCTCATTTCTAAGAAAAAATACAAAAACTGCAATGTAAGAGTATACTAATTTGTAAAACCTAAGAATTTGGTTTTTGGTCATCTTAACGCGGGCGGAGCCGCGGGCAATACTAGTTACTTATATTATTTATTATTATAATAAAATACATATTTCATAGTAACTAATCACTTTATATCATTTCTTAACAAAATCATAAGGAAAAGTCATATGAAAGTTATTATACTTTCATCTATTATTTTTATTTAGATATACAACTTGCACAAACAAACATGACACAGTATGTTATCTTATATAATCATTTTATTAATCTTTCAGAGGAAAAAGAAACTGAAACTTGTAATTCGGTACAGTTGGACGTTAGTTATTCAAGCATAATGAAACAGCAAAGAGAATAAATTCATACTGTGATGAAAAATAATTAATGCCAAAACTGTGACTATATACGAATACGTAAGCAATAAGCTGTGATTGTAATATTTATTATTTTCTTTGAAACCAAATATATTCTTTACTATATAACATATTAAAAATATTTTTTTATCATTTCTTATCCTATTGGGGTTTATTTAGAATATGCTATAGTCTAATATCATTGTACTATTATTTCTCGAAGGGAGGTCTGTACCCAGAAGGGGGAGAGGGCTGTATACTGTATACATACTCGTACATACTATTATTGCAATCTTCTCATATACAGTTTCTAATACATACAAAAATTACAAAAAGGGTAAAATCGACAATACATTTTGTAGAAAAAACCATTTTATTTTATGCTTAATAGTCATTGGGTATATCAAAAATTAAAATATCAGCGATATTGGTTGGTGTGTCAATTGATCGTCGTATGCGTTTGATACATGAGGGTCGTCCCTTCACACTAGTGTCCTTGTAATAGCCAACATTGCAGATGCAGAAATGGGGTGCTGAACAGATCCCGTTGGGGCAGCCTCCAGGACAATAAGGAAGACACCTGAAAATATATTATAATTAAATGTGATATGATATACTAATAGGCCATTTTTAGAAAATTCGCATTTAATACTAAAGGATCATTCATAATTATATTTATACTAATATATAATTTCTGGCTAAAATTAATAAATAAGATTTAATTTTTACATTTTACATTTTTTTTAATATTATCTATAATTACCAGTTTTATTTTTAATGTAAATATTTAAATAAAAAAATAGCAAAGTGGTTCTTTAAAACAATGCTATTGCATTATCTTATATTATTTTCGTTATATCTTAATGTCTATAATATAAAAATTAATCGCTGAATGTGTTGCTAAGCGTAAATCTTGAGAGCAGCTGAAACGATTTCGCTAATTCTATTTTTAGAATATTCCTTGAAGTACGAGGATGGTTCTTACGGAGAGAAAAATTTAAAAAAACTGCCTAAAAAGTCTAAAAACAACACTTTTCTATACTCCCATACAAAAGATTCGTAATAATACTTAAAAGTCAATTTGTACTTTAATACCAAACCATAAAGTTCGAGTGTTAGTGGAGAGGTTCCGGGAAGGCAAAACAACTGAGTGACGTTAGTATCGTATAAATATTAATGTCAATATTTGTTAATATTTATATGATGGTAACATTACTTAAAAACAAATCTATACAGATAAATTAAATTGAAGTGTATGTTTGAAATGTCAAAATAACAGCTTTTTACTAAATGCATATGGATGTATACACGATACATATACCAAAACAACATTTTTTACAATTTTTGTCTGTCTGTCTGTTTGTTCCGCCTAATCTCTGAAATGGCTAAACCGATTTTGACGGGACTTTCACTGGCAGATAGCTGATGTAATAAAGAAGTAACTTAGGCTACTTTTATTTTAGAAAAAAAAATAGGGTCCCCACGAAAAAAACTTAAAAGCAATGAAAAATTTAATAATATCCGATTTAAATAGGGAAGTTGTATACATACCCTAGGGACGAACCCGAGCGAAGCGAGGGTGAGTCGCTAGTTAATTATAAAGATGTAATAGAATAATATGAACACTCAAAAATAAATATTTTTAAACGTCTTACCTGGACTCAGTTGGATCGCTAGCATCCAATATATAACCTGGATTACAACGACACCTAATTCCATCTTCGCAAACACCATTGATGCAAGGTTGAGCACATTGTAAGAGTTCGGCTTGTTGAATGTCTGGATACAGTTGGTTAATAGTCTGCCCATGGAATCTGTGATATCCACTTTGATCTTGAGACCCGTACTGATTTTGATAACCGGTTTGGTTTACTTGACTTCCATATGAGCTTTGGTTTTGGGGAGTAACTTGACTGCCCGGATTAATTTGATTTCCTGGGTAAATTTGGTTACCCGGGTAAACTTGATTCCCTGGATATACCTGGTTTCCAGGGTAAACTTTGTTTCCAGGATAAACTTGGTTTCCAGGATTAACTGGATTGGCGGGATTGACTTGATTACCAGGATAATTTTGATTGCCTGGATAACCTTGATATCCTGGATTGCCTTGATTTCCTGGATAAACTTGGTTTCCAGGGTACATTGGATTTGTAGGTATGTCTTGAGTATATATGTTTTGACCTGGATTTTGGTTACCGGGATATATTTTATCTCCTGTATTTGTAGGTTTTCCATTGTGCATGTCATTACCAGGATACATAGGACGTGTTTGGTAAGGTGGATAGACTGGAGGTGGAGAAGCAGGATATGTGTGTGCCCTTGTTGGTGTTGGGTTGTCACAAACATTTGGTGCAATACACCGTCCACTCGGTGCACAACCTCTGAAAATGTAGGAAAATAGTTTCAAGTATTTTTACAAGAAGTCAATCTCTACAAAGACAATGATAGAATAACATTGTTTTGTTAATAAAATAAACATTTAACAGATTACTTAGAAGAAATTTAATAAACTTACTGAGGACACTGTGGTTCACATTGTCCTTGTAAATTCTTGTTAAAGCCTACTTTACATCGGCAGTCATTTGGTGCTACGCAGTCTCCATTATTGCATCTGTCACACACAGGCTTACAATTTCCATCTGGTGTAGATTGATAGCCAGTTTTACATTGGCAAGTGTTAGAATCTGTGCAGTTGCCTAGAAAATATTATATCTATGTATTAAGTGTATAAATTGATGTTATATTTAATATTTACATATTTATTTAGTTGTACAACTTAGTCGAATATTTCTTTTAAAATTTCGTGCACAATAATGACTTATTATACTAGTATATTATTTCATTGACACTAAAGTGTAATTAGTAGATAGCTTTACAAAATATTTTTATTATATTAATTCTTCTATCCACAAAACAAATAACAGGCTCTATAGTCTGAGAGCTGGCTGGCATTTTAGGCAAGATGAGAATTTTAACAACACTTCTTTAACCATAAGCAGGTATAAGAGTGCAAGTCTGGCTGGAGGATAGCGATTTCCTTGCCACCCTTAAATTTTCAAAGTATTAAAAAAAATTTCCAAAAAAAAAAGTTTTTAGGCACTCTTCTACTACTAGTAGTGCTAAAATAGTAATTACCTAAGCCACCACAGTTTTCCTTGCAATTGGGCATACAGTATTTGCTGTCGCTGTCTAGCTTATAACCTTCTTTGCACAAGCATTCACCACCACTGCAATGACCATTTTGACATCCAATAGGACAAGTAGGCACGCAAAAACCAGCCAAGTTCTTCACGTGGTCAGGGAAACACGTGCATGTCTCTGGAGCACTACATAGAGCGTTTACACACTCTTGAGAGCAAACTGGATCACATATCTTGAAATTATGGATGTTTCTTATGTACCCTGTGCAGCAAGTTCTGATTCGGCTTAAATCTGGTCTTGACTGTAAAAAATATATAATTAAAATTTAGTTGTGATTTATAATACGGATACGTGGTATGTACGTTGTTAAATAAATTGAGCTAGTTTTCTCGTTTAGGATATAATTTATGTTAATTTCACACAAAACTACACAAACAACATATTTATTTTGTTATCTGCGAAAACTAAAGAAACTGCATGATAAATAGATTGACCTTTTCTTGTATCGTTTTATCTTGGCACTTTTAAATATTACTATTCTTTCTACATTATTTGATTACATTGATAACTCTCTACGAGTATATGTCTTTATAAAGCATTTATATCAATGTACGATCCGGGGATACGAATAAAAGTGTTAAAAACACACTGACTATTTAATTTATTCAAACTAGACAAAAAAATGTTAACGCATATCGTCGTTCCGCCATTATGACAAATGATCATTCTTTTCTTTTATTCATCTTTCGTTCAATTTTATTCTCAAAATTATGACCGACCTTCACTCGAAGTTTTTGGCCAGAATTGCAATTTTCTTTTTTTTTTAACTAAAAACTTGAATAGATACAAAAAAAAAGACAAAAGTAAAAACTTTGTATCCGACCGGGATTCGAAACCGGACGGACACCTATGATTGTCAATTTTGCATCTTAGCTGCTTGACCGCGATGCTTATGCCCGAGCGTGCGAAATTAGCGACCATATTTTGCGTGCGAAAGAAAACTAATTGCATGAAAAGTCCAAAATACGTGTTTTCTCACACAAAAACTAATCTAGATAGATTTTTAGGTCCACATTTTAGCGAAATCGTTAGAGCCGTGTCCGAGATCGCCGGTAGAAATAAATATACAAGAATTGCTTGTTTAAAAATCTTAGATTTCATGCATACTCGTCACATAAAACCTACATTAAGTTTTAAGTAAAAATCGGATGGGGCTGTGTCGGAGCACCGCCTTTAGTTTAACATGAAACGTCTATTTCAGCGAGTCGCATTAAGTGTTTTTGTTTTTTAAAATAATTTTACATGTTTGAAAACAAATTATTAAAAATGGTAATCTTTGAAGTTTGAACATACCAACGGAAAGAATATTCATACATATTATGCCATTTTCAGACAATAACAACGGTTACTATGGCAACCTACTTCACTACGGTCCACTTTTCTGAAGGTCGACTTCCTCTTTCCCGTGTGTTTCGGTGTGATTTTAAAAACCTTTCTCGTCAAAATTAACTAACTTGAAAGGAGGTAAAAAAACCTTAGGTATATTTCAGATCTGTAGGTCTAGACTTTATGACTATTATATAGGAGATAATAAATGTTTACGATTTTCGTATAAGTACTAATAATATTCGTATAGGTACTAATAATAATAATATAGTTATTACTTACACCGTTGCCAGCAGGTATTTGAGAGGGATTACGCACCAAGCTTACTGTTCTAAAGAATAACAAAAAGTTTGTACATTATATAATAATACTTTTTTTTAAATTTATAATAAGTTTTAAAACAATATTTTCTATAAATCGTAAATTATATAACAACTATTTTGTAGTAAAAAAATATTAACAAAGTTACTCTGTCACTTACGGTACTTCGACATAGCAGACTCCTACTTCATAATCTATACGTTTTGATGTATTCTGCGCACCGTATCCATGTTGAGATGCGTTGTAGGACCCGTAGCCCTGCTGTGTCGCGTTTTGATGCAAGTTGTAACCGCCAAAGCTGCAAAAAATGATGTTTTTAAAAGCCACGAAAGCTGACTATTATAATTGCTAATCAATCCTATTTTATTCTAATCTAGTTCTGTAGTAAGCTACGAGGCTTGTATTATGTACCACCGGAGTATGAGAGTGACAGGAATAGAGAGTGCACTTGTGTCTGTGCGTACACTTGTGCACTATAATATCTCCCGCGCAGTTAGCTAGTCTCAATGAGATTGGTCGCCGAGGCCGGAATCGGCTAGGAGAACATCATCATCATGGATACTAGATAGTTGATACACTACACATATATAACTTTAAATACATATATATTATAAATTTAAAGTTGAGTTGTTTGTTCAAGTTAATCTCAGAAACTGCTATGGATATTTTCATATTATATAGTACATAATATATATTAATTACTATAATATAGTTTACTCCAACAGTAAGAGGGGCTATGAAAGTTATAGGATTATTTATAATTTTTCAAAAATAATAAACCAGTATGACGATATTTGTGAATTAAGTGTAAAAAAACGTTTTTTTTTTAGAACTTTCGTGATATCATAAATGCGAAATAAAGGCATTTAGGGATGAGTAAAAATAATAAACAGACCACGGAGATATTATACCAATTCTATTATTAGATAGGTACTATTGGTCGCCTAGTGTTTGAAATTCGACCGTGATATATGATATATATAATTTACATAAGGAAATATACAAGAAAACATAAATTGAAAAAAAAACATGACGGAAAATTGTGACATGAAAAAAAAACAAATAAAAAATTTCCAAAACTCTACCTACAAATGTCAAAATTTAAGTAACATACTCATTGTTTGTTACTGTAATAGCTCAAGGTATTTTAGTAAGATTCGGAATAGAGATTGCTTATATCCTATATTAAATAAGCTACTTTTTATCGACATATTTACTAAATGAAGTCGCAAATATAAACTGGTATCTTTATAAATAGGCTTAGACAAAACCTCAAAGTTTGTTAACCGGTTTTTTTTGTTAAGAAGCTAGTAACAAGCTTAATTGTTATTAATAAAAAACCGGCCAAATGCGAGTCGGACTCGCGCACGATGGGTTCCGTACCCTTATCTATAAAAACGAGCAAAAAAATAACTTTTGTTGTATGGGAGCCCTCCTTAAATATTTGTTTTATTTTAATTTATTTATTTATTTTTAAAGCGAATATATAACTAAATATTCTGTGAATATTTCAAGCGTCTACTTGTTGCCAAAGCGAGTCATCGAGCAAAAACGAGCAATAAAATCACGTTTGTTGTATGGGAGCCCACTTGAATATTTATTTTATTCTGTCTTTTAGTATTTGTTGTTATAGCGGCAACAGTAATACATCACTGGCGAAAATTTCAACTGTCTAACTATCACGGTGCATGAGATACAGCCTGGTGACAGACGGACAGACGGACGGAGAGTGGAGTCTTAGTAAAAGGTTCCCGTTTTACCCTTTGGGTACGGAACCCAAATAAAAAACGAGTATGGTCAAATTTTCACGAGGTAAACACAAGTTATTATTAATATCTTTCTTACCTGGGGTAGTTAGCAGGGTTGTAATTGTACCCACCCCTATGGCCACCTTTCACAGATTTCACGTTAACGTATTGGGTGTCATCAATCGCATAGGCGCTGCACAGCACCAAAGCGATTATAATTATATGCATAATGTCTGGAAAAATATAAAAAAGGTTTAGATAGTAAAAAAAATACCTATACGTATAAAGAGGTATTTGTTTGTTTGTACATAAATAAATATGTTAGGACATTAACACACAGCACCATCTAGTTCCATGGTAAGCTACGAGGCTTGTGTTATGGATACCAGATATTTGATACACTACACATATATAACTTTAAATACATACATATTATAAATATAAACACCCATGACTGGAGTACAAACATTTGTGCTTATTTCACTAATGATTGCCTCCAGCGGGACTCGAACCCGCGACCGTTGGCACAGCAAGTAGCAAGTATAAAATGAGAAATATTCAGAATATACTCTACAAAAATTATATAAAAATAATGAACACTTAAAAATTAATCTAGCAATAATATATTTTACAATATTTTTTTTATTTCTTAGTTTAATAAATAATCATAGAAACTTGGACTCTAAAATACGATATATTTAATAACTATTCAAGAAGAAACCAAGTATAAAATATTATCAACATATTAAAAATAAATACTAAACAATTAATTGAAGAAAATGAATAAATATTTGTTATAACATAGAATCAATGATCTTACTTACCAGTATCTCTTTACTCGGTCACTTTAACATTGAGACTGACATAATAATCATAATTTGTATGGAAACAGATACGGATACTCGCATCGTCAAGCAATTTTTATATAATGGGTTCTACACTATAATATTTAAATTTACTACATTTACGAATAAATCGATTACGTTTATATATCTAAGTTTTTTTTGAGTTATTTCTACTTGTAGAATAGCTCTTTGAAAATCGACGACGCGTGTGGCTCAGTGTGTAGTGACCCTACTTGCTGTGCTAGCGGTCGCGGGTTCGAGTCCCGCTGGGGGCATTCATTGTGTGATGAGCACGAATGTTTGTACTCCAGTCATGGGTGTTTATATTTATAATATGTATGTATTTAAGTTTTATGTGTGTAGTGTATCAACTATCTGGTATCCATAACACAAGCCTCGTAGCTTACCATGGAACTAGATGGTGATGTATGTTAATGTCCTGACATATTTATTATTATTATAATAATAGCCTTTGTAACTCTTCAACATACAAGCAATTTTCTCCCTTAGATTTCTATTTACTTCAAACCGAATGCCTATTGCTGCATATATGAAGTACAAACAAACATACGCATTTATAAGATGTACCTAAGTTCTTTATATGTTAGGTTGTTTTCTTAAATGAAGTTTCTACAGTCAATTCTCAAAACTCATGAGAAATATGTAATTGAAATCCGCCCATTTCTGTCGTTCTATATAAAATTTTTGTATCTCTATAAATAGTTTTAGATTTTTTTCTAGACGTTAATTTTTTCTTAGTTTAAACTTAGTTATAACATAAAATACATTAATGAGCAAGCTGTGGTCTCCTATAAGTGAAGGAGCACACGTGTTGTGTCTTATTTGCATTTTGTTTTTACATGATGTATATTGTGTGTATCTTTTGTTGGAGATCCTAATAAAAAAAATATAAAAAAAATAAAAAAAAATAAAACAAACTGACAACGATGAGTTCATTGACTGACTTCAAAAAAAGTGCAAGTAGATTCTCTATTATATGTATTTTTTATGCATTGTCATGCATTTCTTTTATATATTTGCCTATTTTAAATTAATTTTTATGATTATTTTTGTATTGAATTATAAAATTAAATAGTAAAAATATTATAAAATTAATAAATTATTATAGGTCAAGGGGCTCACATGAATATCAAGGAGCCTACGAGGTACCTACTCTATAGAATCGTTGTAGTTTTAGTATAATAGTAATTGGTTTACGTATAGATAGCTGAAATAAAGCTATAGTTGTACACTCTTTCCGCTATTAAGTCTCTAGAACTTGACAGGACTATTGGTAATCAATATCGCCTTTCGTAGATTGAAGTAGTTATACATACACACATATGTACATACAAACACGTACCTAGCGCCGTCAATCGACAACGTTCCATGACATGAAAAAATACTTCCTTTCTTTAAGCTTCACCTTTAAGCTTTTATTTCCTGCTTTATTATACTAGTTCTAAGCTTTTATTTTTCTATTTCGTAACTAGCTAACAATTTAATATATCCAGGTAAATTTCTAAGAAATTAATGAAATTTCTAAGAAATCTATTGTTACCTGTAACGCCGGCGTGTCCGCGGTCGTGGAGGGAATATTATTGATCGACGTCAAACAAGAGGAGTATTCGATACGGTCGTATGTTTTTGTTTGTATGTTTGCGACATTATGACAGATTTAGAACTTATTTAAATATATTTTTTAATGGAATAGATTATATATATTTCAGTGGTGATCTAATATAAATTAAAAAAATCGCCCCTAAAAATGAAATAATTACTTTTAAAGCAGTAATAATAAAAAAAGTCAAGATTCTATGTTTTCGGAACTTTTTTTCTTTTTAAGTCTTAGGAAAAGAAAGCTCGTGTCAATCAGCGTAGAAATAGATAGACGAATTTTTAATATTTTTGGGCTTTTTAATAACCATATAATAAGTTAAACTTCTTAATTTTACTTACATCTATAGTTTACATTTTAAATAACGGAACTCTAATTCCTATAAGTATCGTCACCGACATTAAGAGCGATGAGATAATACAATCTTTAGTTAGCATCAATACCATACAAAATGAATCATATCCACAGCTCGTATACTAAATATTATGAATATTATTAATCGCTTTAATGTCAATCTTAATGAATTCTGAATATATTTTAATTTTACTTACACGTACTTATATCCTGATTATATCTACCATGACTGTTTAAGTTACGGCTAAGCCATGTTTAAAATGTTTTTTTTTAAATTGATAAAAATTAAAAAAAAATCAATAAGAAACACCTATAAAATTATTTAGGCAGTTGATAGGGATGTACTTAGCGTGAATGAGAGTAAAATAAAAAAAAAACACGAAAAAGCCAGGGGACTTTAAAAGTTAATATTGTTTTATTATTGTACCTACCTATAACGAAAATATTTTCGTTGTTGTTGACGAATCACCATTAATTTTTTTAAGGCATTTTATCATATCATTGTTCTGTTTATTTTATAATAATAATAATTAATATATATGTACATATGTACATTTTAACGTTTAGTATAGATTTCTCAGAGATGAAATATTTTCCCGCAATAAAAAGTATCATATATGTTGGACGCGGATAACCAGCTATCATCATACCCATTAAAATCTTTCAAATGGTTTTCTCGTGATACGTTCCCAGACAGACAGACATACAAAAGGTTTAGATTTGGTCTCTGCATCGATAATAATAACTATTTTTATAAGATTTTTTCATGTAACTACCTGTAGATAAATAGGCAAAGACCATCGATCAAAAAAGTATTTTTTCAAAAAATACTTTTTGATCGATGGTAAAGACAAAAAAAAACAATTCAGTAACTTTTTCTCCTCTGTTTGTCAACCGATTTTCTTTTCTTTTTGTTTACGAGCTTTAGGAACAACACCTTTTGGAAATACACTATTTACATCATAACAACAACATCTGTAAGAAGAAAAAATAATATTTCTTAAATTTTTATTTTCATTTCATTTTGCACCTTCTAATCGGTAAAGTTCTAGCATTTGGCCAAGTTTTATTGAGTAAGGGCCACTTCCTACAAACCTCCACCCCTCCCCCTCCACCCCTCCCCATCCACCCCTCCCCCTCCACCCCTCCCCCTCCACCGGTCACGCGCTTTCTTTTGCAAATTGCTGGACTATTACCGTTTCGAAGAGCAATTAAAATACTTTTGTTTTTGTAAAATTTAAAAAATATTATATTTTTTTTCTGACAGATGTTGTTGTTATGATGTAACCAGTATATTCCCAAAAGGTGTTCAGTAAATTAAAAATGAACCTGTATATTTTCACAATAGCTTTTCAAATGTAATCTCGTAACTCAATGCAGTTTGTTGTGTTAGTTAGGAAGCTCTGTTATCATTGAATGCCCACGCTCGACCTTGTTCTTATCATTTTCGATGAAACTTGCGAAAACATGCTAATTCTAGGTATAGTGCAATATATGTTTAATGACAGATTTGTTTAATGTTTTATACAATTAGTATACCTACTATTAATGAAGCAAATCTTTTTCCTTTATCCGTATATTACATTTAATTAATAAATTAACTTATTAGGAATACCAACGATCACCCTCGCTCCGCTCGGGTTCGTCCCTAGTTACGTTTTAACGTTTAGTATAGATTTCTCAAAGATGAGATATTTTTTCGCAGTAAAAAGTATCCTATATGTTGACCCGGATAACCAGCTATCATCATACCAAATTTCATCAAAATCTGTCCAGTGGTTTTCTCGTGATGAGTTCCCAGGCAGACAGACAGACAAAAATTCTAAAAACTATAGATTCGGCCTCTGTATCGATATTAATGACTATTTCTACTACTAATTGAAATATTTAATGTACAAATTCGATTCAGTTTATTATATGTATAAGTTATAACTGAGTGTACTTTAAATTATGGGCCTGGAAACAAGTTTTTTGATTGAGAAACTTTGTTTTGAGTTATTCATGGTTTTCCTTATGTTATTCCACAGAGAATTATAAAATGTGAGTCATTGAGTGATCATCACAATAAATAAAACGTATATTATGTCAAGGATAGCTAACGGACTTTTAGATTAAGTACATAGGCTAGTACTATACATAATTTATATTTCATATATATAAAATTAATTATGATTATAAATAAGAAAACATTAAATAAAAATCGTTTATTTTAAGAAATTTTGGCACGCTAAATTATGTTATTCAATAGTAAATTATAAACACAACTCTGTCTTTGGTAGAATATGTAACTAAAGCTAATATAATCAAATGAACGCCATCTATCGTCACTTATATTAAACTCTACAGAACAGCGCCATCTATTAGCGATATTAAATAATTTAATATAGAGATACTTTTAAAACAACGCCATCTATTTACGGATATTGAGACTAGTCGGTCATAATTCCGTTATAGCTTCACCGTTTAGGTTTACAACGGCAATGGCGTGTTCAGATGGCGGTCTCCAACAAGGGATTTCTGCATATAAGGGTTCAGAAGTAGTACTATCTATTACATCGAGTTTGGCTTCACATTTTAATGCTTCGATAGTGTAATCTGTGACGGATAGAGGGCGCCGTTCCTCAGGTTTCATAGATATAGGGCCGCGTGCTGGCATCGTTCCGAAATCGTGATTTCTTCTTGGTAAGTGATCGTAGTGACATTCTAGGATACCTAAAAAATAAAATATTTTAGACTAAGAAGTATTTAATTAAAATTAAAGAAAAGTAAAGTATGTAAGGTCTCTGGCTTATTTTTAAAATGAAAGACGAGCTGTTTATCTAACAAGTACTCGGATATTTTTAATAGTTAATTAATTTACTAAATATTTATATGCATTTATAATATTTTTTTGTAAAATAAATATGTTTAAATAAAATTACCTCTAAAATTTTCTAGCATGACCGGAGAAATACTTTGCACGACCACTGGCCTCATGAATTGTTTTAAGTTTCTGTCTAAAGTCGATATCGGTTGATAGTGGCATCTATCTGAATGTGGAGGATCTGAAATAATAAAAAGAACAAAACTAGCAGTGGTTTCGCTGATGGCCCATGAGGGGATCGAACCCGCGACCTTCGCGTTATTAGCACGACGCTCTAACCAACTGAGCTAATGGGCCTGTATGATAATCGATCAAATATAATTATAGACAGGACTTCTTATATAAAAATCGATTTTCAAAATAATTTATTAACCACCGACGAAAAAAGAGGCGAATTATAAGTTATCGTGTGTATCTGTGTATCTTTTTGTGGAATCGTAGCGCTCAAACGGATAACCCGATTTTATTTACCTAGTTTGTTTTGTTTGAAAGATGACTAAATTATCGAGTGTTTTTAGATATAAACCAAGAAAATCCGTTCAGCCTTCAGTTGCTTGCAAGCTATCAGGCATCAGCCCTTTTCTAGACAGTAAAAGGATATGAACAGCTTCCACATTTAATCGATTCAAAACTAGGTATCCCGTTATTTTAGTGATATTGCAAAGATATGGTAACTTAGGGCTGATGTTGCAGCGTCACCTGGAATCTGCAAGACACTCAACTCTACTAAAATACTGCAGAAATATCGTGATTAGGCTCATTGAAATAGTCAAAATAAGTAGGTGATTATGTTGGAGTTTATTTAATACTAGCGGCTCATCTTCGCTTCGCTTGGGTTCGTCGTTAGGTAGGTTTTAAATAGGTATAAATATTTGCTAGCCAGCGTTAGCCATATAATTTTTTTATATTCGTTAATTTTTAATTTTTTCTCTTTATTAAAACCTTCCGTGGACCCTAAGCAACATACGAAAAAAATTAGCCGAATTGGTCCAGCCATTCTTGAGTTATGCACTTACCAAAATTCATTTTTATTTATATATATATATATATATGTAAATGTAATAGATTGCAGATTGACATTGATAGGTAGCATAATAATACGTATATTATTATGGCAAATTTTTGCACCAATAAATATCAAAGTAATAAGCTGAATTATAATCAAAGGCATTCTTTATTATTTATTGTATCTTGTTGTTGATATCTTGAGTTAATTTTTCAATTCAATTTAATTCTCTCGATAATGGAGGGTCCATTTTTACGTTCCATTTTAAATATTGGCAATGTGCGAGTCACATACACGATGTATAGTACCACCATGCCATTTTTGTTTTATTTTATATTAATGTATTAATAATAATTAATAAAATAAAACATTTGATACGTAAAATAACTCCTTAACTTCTCTTTTTTTAATTAAAGATTCCTTCTACCCAATTACCTACGATACTTATAGACTCATAATGCGTCGGGGTGATGATTTTGGTGACCTACTTAGCAAATTAATTATAAATCAGATATTTTAAAAAAAATACCAGTGTTACGTTATACTCGTAATTATGAAATTTTAATATGAAAAATTGTGTCCTGTAGTTTAAATAAAGATATTTTATATAAAAATTTAATATAAAAAAATAATACGTTCGTCAAAAAATTTAGTAGAACAGGTTTAACGGGAATCAGAATTAACACATCGTTTTAAAATAATCGTAGAAAAAATACAAACATTCAAAAATTACCTGGCAGAGGCGCATGAAATATGCTTCTCACATACGGAGGTGGGACATCACTATTATCGATCATTACTTGCATTCTTATATCATTCATTTTCCTCACATCATCGTATCTCGGTCGTTTGCACCTCTCTATCATCACTATAACAATTGCGACTGTTATGACAGTCATCATCACACCACCAGCTATACTTATAACTGATATGAGATCCATCGACGTGTGATCCCTATCTTTCTCACTCATCACTGCTGTTATATGTTCAGGTTCTGTTAAAATATGAAAGGTTTCATCTTCTGGCTCTTGGGTTGTAACTTTGTTATATACCTTTGTTATGTTTTTAGAATTAGCTTTCTCAGTAAGTATTTTTATGGCAATCTCTTGCAGTTTCGCTTTTGATCGTGTTATATTTACTTTAATTGTTTTATTAATAGCTTCATCTTTCACTAATGGCGGCTGTAGTTTTTTATTTGATATCGTTGTTATTTCAAATATTTTCGTTATAGGTTTATCTTTGTTAGTTGGAGGCTTAATTGTTAAAATAGAAGAGTTCAGATTTGTAACGTCATTCAACGTGCTCATGCTATTAGTTGTTCTACTCGTTGCAATAGTTGTATTTAGTACTTTAGAAGTTTGTTTATCAGGCACAGTTGTATGCAACAATGCTTTCCTCGAAGTAGGAGTGAACATTCGGGTTGTATCTTGTGACAGTTGAGTTGTGGTTTTGGAGGTGCCCAAACTTTTTGTTTTGAGGGTAGATAAAATTTTTATAGTAAATGGTATAGCAGTAGATACTTGTGATGTCATAGATTTAGTAAAACCTTGATCTATTTTGCTGGGCAATTTAAATGTTACATTTTTTTTCTGATACACATACGATGCAGTCGTTAATGCTATCTTTTTGAATGTCGCGTGGGATACAGATGTCGGTATAATAGAAACTATAATTGTTTTTGGTGTAGTATTTTCTGTAACTGCCTCATTTTTATTTGTTACAGTCTTATGTTTGTTATGCAGATCATGTATATTTTTGAATTTGCTTTCAAAAGTTGATTCACCTTTTTGGGTTGGTCTTATCCAAATTTCTTTTGGTTTAAATTTGACCGTAGTACTTTGGGTTTTAGTTAAGATCTCAGGTTTTCTTGTGTATTCCAATGTCATATCTTTTTCAGTTACTTCCTTATCCATAATTACAGTTATTTTGGAAGTAGAAGTACTAGGATTTGTGGGAATAATACTAGTTTTAGAATGGGTCGTTGTTGAAATAGTAGTGGTAATCGGTTTCTTATTGGTTGTTGCAATGGGAATATTAATGCTAGGAGGTGAAAAGGTAGATAAAGTGGTAGTGTCCTGGATTGTAGAAGTAGATATAAAAGTGGTTGTAGTAGGTGTGGAGGAAACTGTAGCGGGTGTTGTAAAAGGTATTGTAGTAGAGGTCTTAGAAGGAATTTTCAAAGGGATTGTAAAAGGCGTAGAAGGCGGTATGGGAGAAGTTGTTATAGAAGTACTAGGTAACGTAGTGGGAGGTGTGGTAGTAGTGGTATGTACGATAAAGGAAGTATTTATTAAGGAATTAATAGCAGTAGTCATAGAAATAGTAGTCGTATTAGAAGTAGAAGTCACAGGAGGTGTAGTTGTTGTAGAAATTGAAGTTATTATTGGAGATCTTGTCATAGTTATAGATGAGAAGACAGTAGTTTCAGTAACATGAGAACTAAAAGTTGAATTCAAACGAAATGGGATTTTTTGGGGTTTAGCAGTTATTGGAATTTTCATCTGTGGTGAACTGTCATGCTTACTAATAAGTTTAACTGACGTACCTTCTATTGGAGTTTCTGTTCTATTATAGATGTAATTAGCTTTAGTTATTTTGGGTAATTCAATGGTTGTCTTGGTTTCGACCCATATTGGTGTTGTAGTTGTAAGTGAAATATCATTGTATAAAGGTACTGAGGTAGACTTTGTATCTAATAATGTTGATAATTTTGATGTTGTTTCAGTCTTTTTGGTTGTACTTAAAGTCATCTTTGTTGGCAATGTTGTTTTACTTGTTGGTGTTGAGATTAGGGAGGGGATAGGAGACATAAATGATTTTGTTTTTACAGTTGGGATAGTGGATATAGTACTTGGGGCAGTTCTAATAGAAGACTTTGTAGTTGTTAGTAGCTCTTCCATCAAAGCAGGTGGGGGTTGCGTTGTAGGCATGCTGACTTTACAACTGAAAAAGCAAAAATATATAACACCTTAATGTATTAAATGGTATTCAATCTACATAATACTTGATAAATAAAAAATAACATTTATACGCATTGAAGACCAAGGTTTGGTTACCATTGATTTGCTAATTTAACAAAATGACATATTTAAATAATAGCAAAGTGGGAACCCACCTCTCACCTTGCCATCCGTCCTCGCAGTCGCATTCACCAGTAGTTGGCAAGCAATAACCATTAATACATTCACCGCATTCATTTACACAATTTGGTCCCCATTTGTTTGGGGGACAGTCTGAAAGTACATTATTCTATGAAAGTTATTTTTGCATTTTATATTAAAATTGGCTACTTACCCTCGCCCCTGGGTACAAGTAATTCCGTAATACATTATTTTCATATAACTCTTTTAATTTATGCGGCGCACTCCAGTAACTCAATAGAGTTGAAAAAGCTAGTCGGCATGATATTTTCCGACATGTTTAAAAAATTATCGTCTTATTTCAACCAATTTACACAAAATCCTAATGAAGTATAGATCTAAACATTCCTCATGAATTACTCCCTCCATTGGTAAAAAACCGCATTAAATACCGTTTAGTAGTTTTTGAGATTATCGCATTCGGACAAATAATAAAATATAGGCAGACGTGGCCGGGGGGACTTTGTTATATAATATGTATTGATGTTTAAACAGTAGAAGAAAAATTGCCTTCTAAACAGCCATGACCAGTCTTTCCATTCGGGCAGATAGCCACGCAGGACACATCTTTCATTTTGTATCCTGGACAGCATACTGCTACTTCCGCAATACGTTCTTCTGTCTGAAAATAGAAGTAAATAAATAAGTATTCTAGTGAAAATTAATTTATTTAAGGTGATAGATACAAATATATCCGTTTATATCCTGTTAATATTACAAAAGCGAAAGTTTCTGAGGATGTATGGATGTCTGGATGTATAGATGTATGGATGTTTGTTACTCTTTCACGCAAAAACTACTGAATGGATTTTAATGAAACTTTACAATAATATAGTTCTTACATCAGAATAATATATAGGCTCCTTTTTATCCCGGAAAAATGTACGGTCCTAGCCCAATATATTTGTTTTTATTTTTCTTTAGGCGAACCCTAGGGAAGCGAGGCTGAGCCGCTAGTTAATAATAATAATAATGCCCTCCTGACCGATTCCGGTCACGGCGGCTTCTCACATTGGGACTAGACAGATGTGAAGGAGACATTATAGCGCAGCGCGTGTATGCGCAGACGCAAGTGCACTCTCCATTTCTTTTACTCTTAAAGTCCGATGAGAGGACACTTTGACACAACTGATGAGAGTTAACGCGCAAGACCGACAGCTTTACGTGCTGTCCGAGGCACGAGGGTGAAACACAGCTAACTTTCCAACTCTTTTCACTCACTTATTGAGAAATTCTTGACAGAAATACTCAATAAGTGAACTGAGCCCGACCTGGGACTCGAGCCCAGGACCTCCGGATCTGTAGCCGTACATGCCAGCCACTAGACCACCGGGTTATGTACTGCTTCGGTCTATATTGGTATAGGTATGGTATAGTTTTTTTTACTCCATTACGTTTTTGAATACATTAACAAATTTTTTAAATGATTAACATTTAATTTTGTAACATATTATAATATAAGCAATGTAAGCTTCTCCATTACGGAAGTCTAAAAATCACAACAATGTTAGTCCATTTATTTTATTTACCGAACTAGCATTGCGTTGACCCGGATAATCAGCTATGACCATACCAAATTTTATCAAAATCCGTCCAGTAGTTTTTCTGTGATGCGGTAACAGACAGACAGACAGACAGACAAAAATTCTAAAAACTTTAGATTCGGCCTCTGTATCGATAATAATGACTATTTCAATAAGATTTTCCAAAGAATATTTAAAGTACAGATTTGACTCGGTGAATTTTATTATATGTATAGATAAAGTAGTATAAGAACTAAATTATAGTGAATTACAAGAACCTAGTGTTTCTGTTACATTAGATATTTTCAAGGATGAAGTGTAATAACTTGTAATTTTATAAACATAGAGGGTGCCGTAAAATGTAGTTATTCTTATGACATTAGCTGATTGAGATTACAGAATTTGTGTTATTTGTTGTTAGATCTTTGAAGTCATTTTGTTTGTTTATTTTGATTTGTTGGTAATTGTTTTGTTAGCAATAGTTTATTTCATTATTCCCTTCACTACAAGACAAAGATGTAAAATTTTCTATGCTGGTTTTGAAATATATATGTTTTATGGTGATTCTTATGGGTTATTTATTACTTATTTAAAAATGTTTCTTAACTTAAATTTAAATTAAAAAACTTCATAAATCCTACTAATATTATAAATGCGAAAGTTTGTGAGGATGTATAGATGTATGGATGTTTGTTACATTTTCACGCAAAAACTACTAAATGGATTTTAATGAAACTTTACAATAATATAGCTCATATATCAGAATAACACATAGGCTACTTTTGAACCCGGAAAAATGTACGTTTTTCATATTCATATTATAATATTAATATACGTCACTTTTGTAATATTTACTCTAAGTATATAAATTTATTCCAATATTCATTTTTTTCTAAGCTTTCAGATACTGTATAATATTAAAAATTTGGTTAAAACAAATTGATTTAATAAAATCAAGTTCATAGTATACTTATTATAAGGAAGCTAAAATCGTGTACCAAAATTTTATTAAATCTTTACAAGTGAATTGAACAAAAGCGTATTCTAAATACAAGCAGTATACTACACCTCTAGTCTGGTAAGATCTCGCATCTCAGTACTCCACTTGGAGCACCTCGGCGGCATTGAGAAGCACCACTCGTACGTTCTGATGGACATCGGAGCACGGTACTTTACACGTTTTGTTATGTTATACCTGTAACGATAGTGTTTTGAGAATACAATAGATACCATTCTTGACAAATTTCGATATTATCGCAAAAAATTTAATTAGAAATATCTTATAGTGAAGTTAATATGAAATCTACGATAAAATTGATTTTTCTCATTATCAAGTAAAATTTTAAGTTATAACGAGTTATAACATAATTGGAAGTGATAATTATGTATAACTTTAGATAATACTTTCTTAGATTTACGCGAATGAAACGTCAGGAATCAAAAATCTAAATAAATCCGCGAAATAATCCGAGAAGATAGTTTTATTTACAACTTTAGACTTGTTGGTACTTCTTCACTGTATCCGTTATTGCATAGTGTTAACGGGATGCAAGCTGTTTTATAAAATACTTAGAATCACGAGTAATCTGTATATAATTTAACAAATTATTGTCTTAAATGTTCAGCATATTAGCATCAGACATTCCACACCTGTGTCAAACTTTACACATCGGTATATTAAAATATAAAAAATTAAAAAAAAACCCCTGACCATATTGGACCTATTTTTATCAAACAAAGCTACGAACACTCCCGACTAATTCACCTTTCAAACAAAAAAAAACAAAATCAAAATCGGTTCATCCGTTCGGGAGCTACGGTGCCACACACAGACACGTCAAACTTATAACAACCCGCCGTTTTTGCATCGGGGGTTAATTATAAGACATATATAATATAAGAAGCCCATTCGTATATTAGGGGTAAGGATTTTATAACAATCAATTTTAGGTCAAAGTTTCAGTTTATATGAAACTAGCGACTCACCCTCGCTTCGCTCGGGTTCGTCCCTAGCTTGCTTCCCAATACAAACTTTCATGCACATTTTCGTCCCTTAAGGGATAATTTATGGGATAAAAAGTACCCTATATCCTTCCCAGAATCTCAAACTATCTTCTTACGAGTACCTTTCATTTAAAATCTAAATCGATTCAATACATCCAGAGATTACCCCCTACATGCAACGTCACAAACTCACAAACTTTACCTCTTTATATTAGTGTAGACTACACAGGCAGAGCCTCGGGCAAATGTTAGTATATATTAAATAAACTTACTTCTGTTGAACCATGCAGACATTAGGCCCACTCAACGTTAACACTCCTACCGCCATAGTCACTAATAACACAGCACATAATATTGTCTTTGATGTCCACTGATTCCTTGGAGGCATTTTCACTCGACTTGATCCATTTCGTGTTGGTCCACTATTTTGTTACATGTTGGAGCATCTATAAAAAGTTTAAGGTTAGGATTTAAAATTTAAAAAATTAAATATTTCTTTCAGTAAGTCGTTATCTATACATATAATAAAATTGTTAATAAGCCCAATCTGTACATTAAATATTTTTTGGTGAAATCTTATTGAAATAGACATTATTATCGATATAGAGGCCAAATTTATAGTTTTTGGATTTTTTGTCTGTCTGTCTGTGACCGCATCACGGAAAAACCACTGGAAGGCTTTTGATGAAATTTTGTATAATGATAGCTGGTTACCCGGATCAACATATAGGATACTTTTTACTGCGGAAAAATATCTCATCTCTGAGAAATCTATACTAAACGTCAAAACGTAAGTAGGGACGAACCTGAGCGGAGCGAGAGTGAGTCACTAGTAAATAATAAATGTAAAATTTATAAGTCACTGTTGTTGTTACTTTTTCACGCTAACAGATTTTATCATTAGTGAATCTGTATCGAAAGCCGGCAACAACCAGCCTTTCATATAATCTATACTCATAAAACAAAGTTGAAGGGATGTAAATTAAATATTTTTCGACGTATTAGGACTACAACAGATAGGGATGATTTTTACCAATTAAATTATATATATATATATATATATATATATATATATATATATATATATATATATATATATATACATATATATAGTTAAGTACATTTTTCTCCTCTGTTTCTTAAGCAATTTTTATTCTTATTGTTTAGTAGATATAGACGAGATTTAGTAATCATCAATTAAAAAAACGTTGAATTTCAACCAATGGGTGAGCACTTGCTAACATAAATCCATTAAAAGAACAATGGTACGAGTATAATATTATTAACAAAGCTGTAACTATGTCAGCTATTACGAGGATGTCATATAAACGTTTGGGAACAATTAAGATCCCTCTCCCTCATCCTGAGTTAGATGACCTTTTATTTATACAAGGATATGAGGGTAAATTAGAATAGGTTGGATATTCAATTAGTTATAAGGTCAGAAAATAACGTTTAAATGTGTACTAGTGATGTGCTCTTGCTTCGCTTGGACATCCCTAAATAATTTTTTTCCTCATATATTAGGATAAGAAGTAGCTTAGCTCTATAAAAAATCCTACATGAGTTAACTTATGTGGTGCGTGAAATAAGGATAAACAAACAGATATTTGTATTTATAGCGTTTATGGGAAATCTAGACTTGTGGTTTTGTTCATATTTCAATGTATAAAGCTTTTGCTAATAAGTTAGTTATGAATATGTTATTAGTTATGTAAATATATAATATTGCAGACTTAAAAAAAATCAACTACAGTCTTTTTTTTTTCTAACACTTAAAGTTAATTCTTATAATCTCTAAAAATAATAAAATAAAAAAATATTTCCGAGTCTACAATTCAGGCAAAACGTAACGCAAATCACTGATTTATATTTGATATAAAACAGCCCTCAGGAAATAACCCCTTACAAGATGGAATAGGGTGCAAAAATGAGATAAAGAATATAATCTGGGTGTACAGAAAGCGGTTTGTTTCAACATCACGCACACTTCATCCCTTGTACTATGTTACTTACGTACTTGTTATGATAAAATTGTAGGGCTAAATTGTAAATTAAACCAACTTGTGCCTGCGGTTCTACTCGCATAGTTAATGGATAGGAACTTGTTGTACTAAGGACCGTCCACAATAAATCTATATATCTATACATATAATAAATCTGTAGAGGTCGAATGTCTGTACATAGAAAAATGCTAAAAACCGAGTCAGGGGGATGTAAGAAGAAATTCAGATTTTTCAATTTTTTGTTTTTCCGTCTCTTTGTCTGTTTGTACGAGCTAATCTCCGAATCTATTGGACCGATTTAAATGAAATTTTGCATAGTGATACCTTACATCTCCCGTTCAACATTTTAGATACTTTTCATCCCGAGAAAATAAAGAGTTCCTGTGGAATAGTTAAAAAACTATAGTAACTTATACAGCTTAGTACATAACAACTTATGCACCTAATTTAGTAAAATTTGGCATGCTGATACCTAATATTGCCGGCCAAACAACAGGATATTTTTTATCCCAAATGAACGGTTCCTGAGGGATAGATCTGTATGTGCTTTTCTAGTGTCAAAATAACAGCGTTTTACTAAATGCATATGACATTTTATACAGAAAACACAATTTTTAAAATTTTTGTCTGTCTGTTTGTCTGTCTGTCTATTTGTTCCGGATAATCTCTGAAACGGCTGGACTGCTTTTGACGGGACTTTCACTGGAAGATAGTTGATGTTATTCACAGGGAGTAACATAGGCTTCTTTTATTTTAGAAAAAGAATTAGGGTTCCGGTCAAAAAACTAAAACGTACCTAAGGACTAACCCGAGCGAAGCGAGGGTATGTCGCTAGTTAAGTACTAGGACAAAACTTCAAATATCACGAAATCAACTTTGACGAAGTATATAAGACGAAATTACGGCCTTCTTTTTTATGACGGCAGTAGGTATACTTCTACATTCTGATGGCGAATGCAGCTAATTATCTAACGGAAGTCAGATACGTTTGATATTGTTCTATCAGTTATATTAAATGCAACGTCGAGTTTAATAACTAACTTCTGTTCCCGGCTCTGGTTGACTTTTAATTATATTTAGTCCACAACAGATCCAAACACTTCATGTTTTATTCTTCAAATAAGTTACTTGATAAAAGTTTTTCAAAAATATATATATATAAAAGCGAGTAAATCCACGAAATTTAAATATGTATAGTTGTCTAATGTGAAGGATTTGTTACCAACTTTATAGTATTTCATTTATGTACTTATTAGATGTACCTACTTAGTTTATGAGATACATCAAACAAGATAGCTTAAAACAAGATGTCATTCTAATTGTTCTTAAGACTGTTCTTCTGGTCACTAGTTGAAGAAAATTTTAAAAATTCTATAGAAATTGAAATTCTATATCTATATTATATCTGTAAGTATTTTATAGATTTTTATTTTTCAACTCTCGTGTCTCTAAGCTCTAAGACTTGAACTGTTGCACAATCATTTTATTTTTTTAGTCAAATGCCATAGATTTGACAAATAATTAATATAAATATTAAACGTATTAAAGGCAATAATAATTAATGAGACCCAGCTTTATGTAATTGAAATCGTACCCTCTTCCTATAATTTAATACAGACTAATATTAAGCCCATCAAATCCAAATAAACGAACAAATCTTCCACCGAATGTGCAACCCAAAACCTCGTTTGCTAAGCACCAATTCTTTGTCCTAAGAAGCTAGAACTCGAAAACTCCATATAAAATTAAAAAGTTATAAATTCAAATACCTTTATCGTTATAGACTTAAAATTTAAACTTACGGACTGGCTTCTAAAACAGGATTACTCGAATCGAAATCGAATGAAATAAATATTATTTATATTAAGTTTAAAAATACATTTTCTCTTTGTCAACATATATTCCTGTATGAATATATTCTAAAAATTCTAAAATATGTATATAAAAAAAATCAAAAACAAGTCACTCTCACAGTCATACACTCGTGAAAGAAAGGTGGTATATATAATATGAGAATAAATTACAATAAAAGATAAGGCTGGAAGTATTTTTCCTGCAAACTATGAATGAGATTTTTTTAATTATGGTTAAAGTAGTATTAAATATCCCTCATGTGCGTTTACTGTGTTGTGGTGGGGGGCTCATCAGCATTCGGTTACCCAACCGGGCGGGAAGCTAAGGAACGCACTGAGAGGTGGCCCACTTCGGTACACCATGCGGGTTGCTCCTGATACCTCTCTGATAGCAGAGGGGATTGTGGGAGCAACCCCATGGTTGTTGTGGTCTGCTTCGGCGGACCTGCCGTCGGGGCGTCGTGGTTGAGTGCGTACGCGATCCTGCGACGCCCCATTAAGACGGAGGAGGTTCCGTTGGGTTTTAGTGGTAGTACTGGCTTTACCGGTGAGTCCCACATAATGCCTAATTGCATTTCCCAACGTTAAAAAAAGTATTGAAGATAGTGAGGGTAGATAATCGTTTGCTTTGATGATAGTACACACGATTGCCTTATAAGGGTTCAGATTTAACATTATCTATATGAAATTCCCTTTCTCCATTTATTTATTATACCACATAAAATACATATAAAAACAAAAAACCCAGATACCTTGCGTACAAAAGATGACTTTTCCTTTTAAGAGATCTCTACCAGAAACCCTCGAGAGTGAGAAAAACACCACACATACGTACATACATATATTCACAAACATTAAGAAGTATATTACATAATAAGTAAATTACGTATTTATCAACAGTTCTAGCGATGTATATAATTAATTTTTATACACAATTTCAGTAAAATTATTATACTTAACTACTTTGAATGAAAATAACAAACCGATACCTAAAATACTCCCTCACAGAGTAATTATATAATGGTTATGTGAAAGGGAGCCGTGGACTAGTAACATTTTCGCATGTATCAATTTGGGTACAGGATGCGTGTGTTATCAATGAAGGCGTCGACCTCTGTCATAATGTGAGTGGTAACAAAATTGTAGAGCTCGAATATCTATACTATTATAAATATGAAAATTGGTCTGTTACGATATACGAGTAACTCTTAGTACAGTTAGGTTAGTTTTTTTGTTTTTCCAGGAAGTAATATTTATTCAAAGCGTCTTTTTCTGAATCTGGGATTGTCTAGGACTAAAGTATTGCTGAACGCACGTTGGGGGGGGGACTAAAGTATTGCCTGAAAATGCATTAAAATTTGTCTTTTTGCATCATAATTACATATATGAGATTGGCCGCCGTGGCCGGAATCGGTCGGGAGAACATCATCATCATCACATATATTTGATAGTTTTTTTGTTATTTTTTATACTAAAGAAGGTGTTTATGTACCTATAAATACTTTATTGATTATAAGAAAAATATATTA